TAATTGATAATTGATTGATAGGATTAAGGTTTTGAATGTGTCTTTGTATTCCAGATGGACGCCAGGAGGGGGTTACTTTTGATAAAATTACATCTCGCATCCAGAAGCTTTGTTATGGACTCAATTGTGAATTTGTCGACCCTGTAAGTTTAAACCACCATAAATAATACATTACAGTTTATTATCAGTGTATGGAGAAAAAAAAAGAAACTGAATTCATGTTTTTGCACTGGTTGCAAAAGTCTACCTCAGTGATAGTCAACTATTAGTTTTCTCTGTTTTCGTAGGCTCAGATCACAATGAAGGTGATCCAGGGTCTGTACAGCGGAGTGACCACTGTGGAGCTGGACACTCTGGCTGCAGAGACTGCTGCAACCCTAACAACCAAACATCCTGACTATGCTATCTTGGCTGCACGCATTGCTGTGTCCAACCTGCACAAGGAGACAAAGAAAGTGTTCAGTGGTGAGTTGTAGATTTAAGGTACATTCAAGAATACACAATGCTCTATTATACCTTTTTTTTCTTTTGGTAAGTAATACATCTATTTATAAACATGACTTTAAATCACAATTAATTTACTTAATTCACTATTTAAGACATTATAATAAAACCAAGTGGTAAAATATTTAAATGATATATATATATTAAAGATTAGTGGACATGGCCATTACTAAAACCCCTGCCACTTACAATTGTAACATTTTGGTTTGCTGTTTGCAGATGTGATGGAAGACCTGTACAACTACGTGAATCCGTTAAACAAGCGTCACTCTCCTATGATCTCCAAGAAGTTGCTCGACATTGTTTGTGAAAACAAGGCGGTAAGTTACATTAAATGTGCCTTTTATGTCCATGTTTTCAAATTGATCAAAAAATATCCTTTTGATATTATATTGCATTTTCTGCTTTCTGCAGCGCATCAACTCAGCCATCATCTATGACAGAGACTTCTCTTACAACTTCTTTGGCTTTAAGGTATTTCTTAATGTCATTTAAAATTCAACATCTCAGGCAGATGTTAAGATTATAAATCTAATTTTATCACTTTGCTGTTATAGACTCTGGAGCGGTCGTATTTGTTAAAGATTAATGGCAAAGGTGAGTGTTGACCAACCACTAACACATTGAGGTAGAGACATGCTGACATGTCATGTTAAGTGCATATACTTCAATTATGAATTGCCAATTACCTTCATTTACTGTAGCTGCTGAGAGGCCCCAGCACATGCTGATGAGAGTGGCAGTCGGCATTCATGAAAGTGACATTGATGCAGCCATTGAGACTTACAACTTGCTGTCAGAGAAGTGGTTCACTCATGCCTCCCCTACTCTGTTCAATTCCGGTACCAACAGGCCGCAGCTGTCTAGGTAAGGACTTATGCAGTAATAATGCAGTAACTTTTAGGCTTTTAGGCAAAGTTGACCAATGTAACTATTCCACCTTTAAACCTTTCTTTTCTAATTTGCTTTGGCTTTTTGCAGTTGTTTCTTGTTATCCATGAAGGACGACAGCATCGATGGTATTTACGACACTCTGAAGCAGTGTGCCCTCATCTCCAAATCAGCTGGAGGAATTGGACTGGCTGTTAGCTGCATCAGATCAACAGGCAGCTATATTGCCGGGGTGAGAAAAAGCAGCATCACATTGATTGAAAGCACATATAAAGGAGCTTTAATGAACACTTTCTCATATCTGTATAACTTAACCTTGCTTATTGTTTTTCAGACTAACGGCAATTCCAACGGGTTGGTCCCTATGCTTCGAGTGTACAACAACACAGCTCGTTATGTTGACCAGGGAGGAAACAAGGTAAGGAATGACATTTAAAACACATCGTAATGGGGCTTAAGATTTTGGATCTAGAGTCTCCTCTGGTAGTAAATCAAAACACTCTTTACCTGGGTTTGTTTGTTCAGAGACCTGGGGCCTTCGCCGTGTACCTTGAGCCATGGCATTTCGATGTGTTTGACTTCTTGGAGTTAAAGAAGAACACGGGTAAAGAGGAGCAGAGGGCCAGGGACCTGTTCTTCGCCATGTGGATCCCTGACCTCTTTATGAAGCGAGTGGAAAGCAATCAGGTGAATATTGGAGGGAATCTCTGCTACCAATATTACATTTCTAAATGTCATCAACTGTATTTTATAGTTTGGTGCTCCTGCTAATGCCACTCATGCCTTTGTAGGACTGGTCTCTGATGTGTCCCAGTGAGTGTCCCGGGTTAGAGGACTGCTGGGGAGAGGAGTTTGAGAAGCTCTATACTCGGTAACACCAGCACATCAAACTCATTTCTTAAGAGAAAAAAAACCACATTCATTGCAGCTAACCTGTCACAAACTCATTTTGTCCTCAGATATGAGAATGAGGGCAGGGCTAAGCGTGTGGTGAAGGCTCAGCAGCTTTGGCATGCCATCATTGAGTCTCAGACAGAAACTGGTACACCATACATGCTCTACAAGGACGCATGCAACAGGAAGAGCAACCAGCAGAATCTGGGCACCATCAAGTCTAGCAACCTGTGCACAGAGATTGTCGAGTACACAAGTAAAGATGAGGTGAGGGGTCGTGCATAAACAACAATAACTAAAAGGTATAACTTGCTGTTTATTTGATATAAAGTTAGCTTTTGTAATATTTAAGTGTTGTTTTCTTATGTTTTTTTATTAACTAGGTCGCGGTGTGTAACCTGGCATCCATTGCTCTCAACATGTATGTGACCTCAGATAGGACCTTTGATTTCAAAAAGCTTGCATCTGTCACCAAAGTCATCGTCAAAAACCTGAACAAGATTATTGACATCAACTACTACCCAGTGCCTGAGGTGGGCTTCCTTGTAGTGCTGTTTCTCTATCGAACATGCAGCCTGGTTTAATGTGTTCTGTGTTAAAGAATGGCTCCTCTGTTTTGTTTTACAGGCTGAAAGGTCTAACAAGCGCCACAGGCCCATTGGAATCGGCGTGCAGGGTCTAGCTGATGCCTTCATCCTCATGCGTTTTCCATTTGAAAGCCCGGAGGCCCAGCTGTTAAACATTCACATCTTTGAGACAATCTACTACGCTGCTTTGGAGGCCAGCTGTGAGCTAGCAGCGGCGCTCGGCCCTTATGAAACATATGCTGGCTCTCCTGTCAGCAAGGGAGTGAGTCGTTTTGTTGATATAGCTGATCCATCGTGGGTATTAGGTTAATATGTGCAGCAGATCCTAAGTTATTCTATTTTCCAGATTCTTCAATATGACATGTGGAATAAAACCCCAACAGACTTGTTGGACTGGAAAGCATTAAAGGAGAGAATTGCAAAGTGAGTCTTTCTGAATATGTTCCGTGTTTATTTTTCGCACCTCTTATCTTATATGTAAAGATTATAGCACATATGTGATCCACCTTCCTCTGTGTGTCCTCAGGCACGGTGTGAGGAACAGTCTGCTCCTGGCCCCAATGCCCACAGCTTCCACTGCCCAGATCCTGGGCAACAATGAGTCCATTGAGCCTTACACCAGCAACATCTACACGCGCAGGGTACTCTCGGGAGAGTTTCAGGTCAGTACTCAGTGCATGAGCTTTTACTCCAAAGAGGTGTGTCCATGGACAAAATGTTGAAAAGTGTCTTTTCTGCCACCCCTATAGATTGTAAATCCTCACCTACTGAAGGACCTCACAGAGATAGGACTGTGGAGTGATGAGATGAAGAACCAGCTGATTGCTCAGAACGGGTCAATCCAGGTAAAAGATCATACATAAATTTAGTGAATTAAATTATACACTATAAAGTACAATTCCAACAATGTTTAACTTTTTTAAAATGTATTTTTTTAATACACATCTGACTGCCCACAGGAAATTGAACAGATCCCTGAGGATTTGAAGCAGCTGTATAAAACAGTGTGGGAAATCTCACAGAAGACTGTCCTGAAGATGGCAGCAGATCGCGGCGCTTACATTGACCAGAGCCAGTCCCTCAACATTCATATTGCTGAGCCAAACTACGGCAAACTAACCAGCATGCATTTCTATGGTTGGAAGCTGGTAAGTTGTAACTGAGGGAGCACATGCTTGATGCATGCTGCATCGTAGTACTTTGTAAAACGTCTTAAAGTGCCTGTCTTTTTTTTTACTCTGTAGGGCCTGAAAACTGGAATGTACTACCTGAGGACGAAGCCTGCTGCCAACCCCATCCAGTTCACCCTTAACAAGGAGAAATTAAAGGACGCCCAGACAGCCAAGAGTGAGGATGAGGAGACCAAAGAGCGCAACATTGCTGCCATGGTGTGCTCCTTGGCGAACAAAGACGAGTGCCTGATGTGTGGCTCCTAACTCAAGTGTTTTTCACTCAGATAGAAAGACTCCCCCCTTATCCTCCAGCTTCCCCAATATATATATATCTATTTTTGGAAACAATCAGTTTTTTGTATTGTATTTAAGATGTAACAAGAGTTTTACACATGCTGCTGTCTTCAACTCACAAATTTTTGCAGTTTGTATTTGATCTTCTGCATTTTTATCATTAAACATGTTTTTATGCATTTTTGTATAGAATTTATAGAATACAGTGATCTGATATTTGCCCTTTTATAGTTAGTTTTGTATTATCTGGGTAACATAAATGAACTTAATGTTTGTATTTTACAAGTGTGTGGGTTATTAAATTGTTTTACAATGCTATAAATTAAATCTCAATTCTTATTACAGTTTCTTTCTTTTTTTTCAATAATACTTAAATGAATACTTAATTGTATAAGTAATGTGTTTATCGGCTGGAAGAGTCTGCGAGCATTGTGCCCTGAGACGGTAGATGCTCCAGGTGGTTAATTAATTATGTGGTGTGTTCATCTACATGATCTCATGGGAGCAGTACTTGTTAAGCAAGCTGAGACCTGCACTGTCACACTGTAGCGGTGTGTGGCTCTGCTGCCTACTGAAGAGACACACTAAAGCAACACAGCCTCTTTCATCACAGATTTAACGACACCTTAAAATATGAACATGAAAAAGACAGAGAAAATAATTTGTAAATGTTTTAATAGTGTTACAAAGTAACTCCAGTTTGAAACTTTTTTGTGAGAATCAAGTGCATTTTTATGTATAAGTTAGAATAACTTGGGCTCTTTGTTACTGACAAGTTGAAGAGTAAGTAAAGGGACAGCAAAATATATAACAATATAATCAGCCTTAATTGACTGACCAATGAACCTCCACTATATAACTTTTTGTGGTCTTATAGGTTTGGCTTAAGTGAGTCATTATATTATTCACCCATGATGTGAGTAGAATTAGCCGGAAAGCTTCATGCTACAATCTTTGACAATTAGCATGGATTCAATTAAAAGTACTATCACACTATCAATGATTAGGGTAAAATAAATTCTTGAAACTTTTTACAAAATACAATGATTTGCTTTCTGGTGATAGATGAATGAGAAGATAGTTACCCCCCAAGTCTGTACAGTTATTATGAAGCTAAAGCTGGCTGCAGGTTAGCTTATGCTAGCCCAACGGTAAACAAAGAAAAAAGCTAGCCTCGCTTTTAGGCAAACAGCAATTCACTTAAAGTTCTATTATTTACAAGAAATGCTTTCTTATAGTAGAAAAATAATAAATGAACTGTTTGCTGTTTTATGGACAGGAATGTAAAGGGCTACATTCCTTAAATTCAGGAAATTTTGCTTCAAGATTTTTTTTAAATCTGTAAAAAAAAAAAAAATCTACAAATGGTTCTAGCACAACAGTAACCTGACAATAAAGATGTGTGCTCAGCCAATTTAATTACAAGAAACATCCTGCAAGTATTCTTACATTATATTTGCTGGTACTTATTTTCTTAGACCCTGCTCATGAGGTCAAAATGGTAGGTCTGTGTAGTCACACAGAATAATTCACTTAGGACTTCAAATCTATCAGATATTTTGAAGCAATCTGACATTTGCTTACAATTTGTTGCTTTGGACAATAGTTCTGAGTGGACACACTGAGAACATCCCTACCACTAAGCCTTGTTGTTAACATAGCCAAAATTATAAAGCTGAAACCTTTCAAGAAAACATTTTAACCAAACATATTGGATGTCTTTATTAGGGACATCGACAATGTCACGGTCTCACTAGTATCCCATCAATTGATTCCTCACCTTCCTGGGAACCGAAACCTGTGTCCTGTGAACTACTGCTGCCTGTAGGTGAAGGGATCGTTTTCTTTGTTCCAGCTTTTTCTTTGCCCTCCTTGGCACCAGACATCTCAGGTGCATTATACTCAAACTTTCTACCAATTATCCTTTTTGCCTCCACTTTTTTTTCTTGCAGCTCTAAGTCTTTAAACTTGTTCATTATTCTCTGTTTGTCTGGGTTTTCAAAGTTCACTTTTCTGCTTTTAGGTCCTTCAGGGGTCATTTCCATGTGTTTTTGTCCTGCCTTTGTCCCTGTCAGAGTTTCTTCTTCCATTGTTTTTTCTACCTCATCCTGCTTAGCCTCATTCACTTTATCCTCTACATTATTTAAACTTGTCCTCATCACCACCTCCACTTTTACATTGTCACCTTTTTCATTTTTGTCTGCTTCTACCTGCTCCTTTTCCTCACTTTCATCCTTGTCTTCTTTCTCTGCTTCTGCTCTTCCTTCTTCCATTTTCACCACATCACAGTCTGTTACTGGCTTTGACCCCTCTGCTACACATTCATTCAACTGATTCTGTTGAGCATCAGACTCCTGTTTTCTATCCGAGTCAACCTTTTCTTTACCCACCTCCTCCTCTCCATGGTGCACAGTCACTTTAAGTGATGCATTTTTCTCATCCTGTTTGCTGTTAAAACCTACAAAATTGTTCTTGGCACCAATGATGTATTTTCCCAGTACGGAGGAGCCCTCCTTGACCAGGGCATCACTTGCAGTGTGTCCATCATCTACCAGAAGCTGCTGGATCACTTTCATATCAATGTGCATCCTGGAGACTGCTTTGCTCAGCTCAGTGATCCGATTACCGATATCTAAGGGGAAGAAAATGCTCCAATCACAACACAGAATGCAGGAACTTTTGTAATTCTGCTCTATTAACTTTTGGTTTAAAGCGATCTTGGGGTTTTATTGTTATTATGTTTGTGTTTTTGTGTAACTAGTTTTCAAGTTCAGAAAAGGGTATATTGGTAGTTTGCTATACCCAACATTTGCTAGCTTACACTGCTAACACTGACTCCACAATTTGATGCCAAAGTGATAATAGCCAAAGTTCAAAGTGAAGTAGATTGCAAGAGCAATCGTAAGGATCAAGGTTTAGATACTGTGTTGGTGATTTTGAATTGTAGCAACCTGTAGTTGGTTCATTCAGAAAAACATAGCCATTGTTATATTTTTTTTAAATACTTTTTCACCTAGTGATGAAAATATAAACAAAAAATAAAATGTTTATATGGAATCCCAAAAAAGCCAAGCTTCATCATTACTTGCACTTCCTTAAAATACGGTACTTCAGACCATTTAAAAGCACAACTTTTTTGTCGATTGTAAGGGGTGTCATGCCATGTCGAGGTGAGAGTCAACAGGAGTTTTGAAGGAAACACAATATACTTGTGCCCCAATGAAAGGATAAGCGCTGAGTGAAGAAACCCATCATCCCAATTATGCCCCTATTCCCTAGTGATAAATTACATAACCTACCCCATGGCCCTTAGTTGCCACAGAAACCAAAACAGCATTATCACCTTCAACAGACCCAGGCTCTATTTGTACGAGCTACCAGGTAGTGACAATGCCGATACTTCTTACCCTATCACATGGCCCCTATTGGCCCCCATAACTAAATCGTTTAGACCTATGGGCAGCAAGAGCCAGGTCAAGTCGACCCTCAACACCTTGGGAAGGCTGGACAGTTAGCTCTGGCAACCTATTCTACCACATGGCCATCACAGCCTAAACAGCATTGCCAGCTTCAACAGACACAGGCTCTGTTTATGCAAGCTACCAGGAAGTGACAAGGCAGATCATACAACATGGCTCCTATTGGCCCTCACAACCGAAATGAATCTATTTCTGGTGACAACATTACACATGAAAAGAACGGCAAGAAGAAAACAAGAGAAAATGGAGCAACACAGAGAAAAGTCTGTAAATATAGACAGTGGAAGCATTCACCCCCGCCAGATCGGGCTGTTGCTCTACCTCCCCCTACTTCCTTATTCTTGTGAGAGAAGAGAGTAAACCAAAGCAGAGAGACTCTCCTACTTTTGAATTTGCCCCCAACTGGTATTATTTCTTATCATCCAAATCCACTGTCTGGTTTTAGCTGCTTTATCTATCCTACAATCTTTTACAAACCCTGCCCACAGCTTCCCAGTTCTCTCAGTAATGAAATAGCTGATTGTTCTATGAATCCTCTTCACCCCACTTCTCCCGGACAAACCCTGACTATACATCCTTGCTGTTCAGCTTCTGTCCCCCAAGTCTAAGCATATCTAAGCTTTTTCCTTCCATATGCTTCCTCCACAGAGTCCTCCCATGGAACTGTCAGTTTTATGAAATAAACTATCTGCTGACTAACAGACCAAAGTACTATGTAAGGCCTCAGGTTAGTGAAAACTATTTGCTGTGGCACAACAAGTTTTCCTCCCAAATCTACCTGCATCTCCCAATCCTCAGCACAAGATGACCTGTTGTCTTCGATTATCAATACCTGCTGCTAAGCTTTTAAAAATCTGATTAAGTCCTGTCCTTGCAACGGACTAATCTTAGAGCCTGACAGAGTATGCCTCAAAGTTGATGTCTCTGACCACAATGGGCATGATGGTTCCCAGTCTAATCAATGTTTTAGGTTCTTTGGTGATGGCAGCACATCCTGCACCAGCTTCCTTCTTTTTCTGGGACCTGCTTTAGTCCACTGGTTTGCCTGAACTACGCTTCCTCTCAATTATCTTTCCTATTGACAATGAGGTGCTCGAAACATGCAGTACTCATACACATTCTTATATTTTGGAAGCATGTTTTCACCAAGTTTACATAACCCCTGGTATTCTAAAGGACTCAAATGTATTAACTTTCATGGTGCTCCTCCACAGCGTACTGCACTGAACTGAAGAAGCCCTGAAAACTGACTGATGACTCATCAGCTTTGGAGAAACAAAAAAATTTGCATTCCACTCCAAACTGAACCAAACCAAATTTCCATATACTTCATTTTAGCTTCCTGAATCATGCTGCAACCAAACCAGTCTTGTATATTATATGTACCCTGCAGAACCTGTGATTCCTGATTACTGTACTGTGGTATCTATTAAGCTTTTCTGTTCAATGTAGTCTGCTAGCCTATGTTTCCCCGTTCTACACCAAGTTTGTGGTTTAACTTTTTATCCCACAATATTCTTAGCAGTAGTATATTCTCTAGGCACTTTGGTCGTTGGCCATTGTGTGCCATTGTTACCTTTCCTCTTGGTCTCCTCGAACTCCTTGCGAGCTGACTCAATGTAGCGTTGCACTAAAGCTTCAATCACCTGCTGCTCAGATCCCTTATTATTGGTCTTCAGACACAAAGAAACATGTAGATTATTTTTTCATACCAATGTCAAACTAACTTCTGCATGTGAGGACTTAACACACACTTACCATAGAGGCCAAGGGGGGATACTTCTCTTCAGAGTTACAAGTGCAGCAGCAGCAGATTCGTCTAAAGATACCCCTGTAAGAGAAAATAAAGAGCAAAAATTCATATACTTTAGATATAAAACATTGTTGTCTTTGCAGGAAAAAGGTGTTTTGAATTTCAGAGCTCACCTTAAAATATAAAAGACAGCTTTGGGCGACGGTATGATGTTGAAAGGCACAGGCATAGTGAGACCTTCTCTAAAGTAACTGAGGTATAACTTTGATCTGGCAAATTTCCACTCAACATCGGCATCATCCTGAAATAACGAGGTTGAGATTTCAGTGCCAGTCCTTTGTTTCTACTTTTGTTTTAGCTTAGAAAATACAAATTCTCTGTACCTCAATTTTCTGAAAGGAGTTGGTGATCATAGCAATCAGCATGTTGAGCAGGACGATGACGATGACGAGTGTGAAGATGCCATACAGAATCCTCCCAACAAACTCCGCCATCACAAACTGTGGCATGTCCACGTAGTCCTGGTTGGCTACCCCAAACATGGTCCAGAATAAGAAGTGGAACGTCTCGTTAAACCTTCAGTGGAGGGGTAGATGTCATGATACTGTTTTCATACATTTTCTTTACTAACATGATAAACTCCTTTTCTGGAAATAGCTGATTTAAAGTCAAAGGTAAAAAAAAAAACACTGATCAACACTATCATTTAAACCTGAAACCAAATTTTGGATCCAATAGAGTCAGGTTTTTAATCAGACTGGGTTAGATTTTTTTGGGTTTATGGGCTAATAACACTGAAGAAACTGAAGATGCTGTACCTGCCAAGATGTGGAGAGACAACATAAGGGACATAGATGTTGTTGATCCCACAGAGGAAGGCTGTTCCAATGATCATTAATATAAACATGAATCTATAAAAGAAGACGACATTTTCATTGGCTTAGTCCTGTAAGATGATTTCCCTCTTTGGTAATGACCAATCCACAAATTAGCAAATGGTGAAACAAAAAGTCCTCGAACCTCATCATATCATCAATCATCTTCCCAATGGAGATCTGCAGAGTTCCCAGAGATTCATGGGCTGGCAGGATGTATGCAAGCCGTGTGAAACTTAACATGCTGGTCACTGCAAACAGCAGCTCCGCAATCAGCTGGGGATCCTCCTGATGCCAGTTGTCACGCACTGCAAGGCAGTTTAACATCAACACCAATTACCAAGTTAGATGTTTGACAACTTTTACAAATTCTATCAATCATTAATTCGATATCATTGACTAACCTGTTTGAGTGAAGTAGATACAATCCTCCCCGCCACTTTGGTCATTGCAGAGAAAGTGTCCTTTAAGCATGATGAGCACACGTAATGCAAACGATGCTAAGTACATGCTGAGCACCATCATGTCCAGGCAGTTCCACCAGTCCAGAAAGTAACTCCGAAGCCCCTCAATCCACACTTCTTTACACTCGTACCAAAAGAATCCTACAAGGTGTGGCACAATTTGAAATACAACACAAGATATCCATGCCCTAATGAAAAAGATGGTATTATAACCATTTATAATAAAAACGTTTCTGATTTGACTGCATAGAGAAATTTAAAGACTAAGTGACCCTACCAACAACCCACACCATGTGGAAGGAGCTATGCAGGATGTTCTGTTGGCGGGAAGCAAATTTGTCCCGATACATCTCCATTATTATTGATTCTCCAAGTAAGGTGATGAGGAACCATAGATAAGAGGCTGAGTGAAGAAGAAACTTGATAACAGGAATCTTCAGTATCTTTCCCATCTTTAGAAACCACAGAAAATAATTACATGTCAAACCACACATTTGGCCTTTATACTGTAGTAATTGGAACTCAGTGATCTCAAATTCTTTTAATGGTACCTTAGATTTGGGTGCGACCCAATAGACAAGGCAGAGAAAGGGCATGGTGAGGAAGATCCCCACAGAGACTAGAAGCTTCCAGGCTGTCCTACTACCTCTCCATCCTGCCAGGTTCCCACACCAAATAGATGACAGCACCTGCTGGCAGATTGGGTGTGCCACAAACTACAAATAGTACAGAGGATTGGGCATCAGAAGGGTTTTCTTGTTCTCATCAATGGGTTGACAGTATTGTCTACCTACCTGCTTCTGGTTGTAGTTCACAGCAAGCCGGAAACGAGACAGGTTAGGAATTCCTTTCTCAAAGGCCTGCTCATCCATGGAATTGTGGCTTTGGTCTCCACAGCTGTTCAGGATTGTGGTTACCTCGCTCTGGTTGCGACACATGCCCAGCAACTCAACGGCAAACTCCTGACAAAGCTCCTCCAGAGCCAGGTATTGAGGCTGTGGAAGAGAGGCACCAAAAAGAATCTAGTAACAACAAAGACACCCAACATGAACAATAACTAGTAATATGTACAACTCTCCCCACACCTTGAACTCTGGTTCTTTTTGTGAGAGCTTACGCAGCTCTCTGCTGAGACTAAAAGCACTGAGCATGGAGTCATCAGAGGTGACTGAGAGGTAGGCCCGACTAGCAATGCCACGGTAAGTGTTGATACGAGATAAAGAGAATTTGAGTAGGTCGTACTGTCGGCCATTACGACACTCCAGACAGGCACAGGAAATCTTATGAGGCCATGGGATGACATGGCCTTTTTGGGTTAGCATTGTGACTATATCATACAAGTCTTTCTGGCAGGCTAAAGTCAGAGGCGTCACACCAGGGGCAAACTGGGAGTTGTCAATAGAGTGGTCAAAGATGGCCTGAGAGAAGGATCGCACATCCATTTTGTTGCCTTTCTCCTGATCCAGCGGTCCAGCAGACGCTTGACCACTTTGGGCTGGTTGGTGTCTACAGCAACTAGCAGGGCCTCATGAATCTGCCGGAAGTCAAACTTAACCCCCTGAAGGAGAGCATCCATTGCATCCTCATTGCCCAGGCGGATGGAAAGGTTGAGAGCTTCTCTCCACTGGCGATCCTCAGACTCATCCAACTGGCGGATAATGCCATCACCGGTCTTCAACAGTCCGCACAGCAGCTTAATTTTCCCATCCTGAATGGCACGGATGAGCTCCGGAGGGAACCGCATTTTTCTGTTCATAATCTCGCGCCATTGTTCTGGCTAAGGACAGGACAGGACAGGACAAAGACAGGTAGATGCATGATTAGATGTCAAATCCAATTTTCTTTACAAGATATGTTGCCAGGTATTACTGAAAAACATCATGAGTGCATAATTGAAGACATTTTCCCAAGCCTTCCCAAGTTTTTTTTTCCGGAGAAGACAGGACTAAAATAATTCTAGCAAAAGCCAAATGTGATAGCCTCACAATAATTCTTAAATTAAACTTTGACACAATGAACACCAAATTCTACCAACTATATGTGAATAAAACTCTACTTACTGTGAGGTTCTCCATCCCTGATAAATCACAGCACAGTTGTGATCAGTGGTACTAGAGTGAAGACACAACCATGTTTTCGAGAAGCATGAAATATGTTTTGATCCGACTATTTTTATTTCAAGCTTCAGAGATGAAAGGGAGATATCTTTGCACAAGATGCTCCAAGAAGAGAACTGAGCACTTTGGAGTCCTACGATCATGTGCTACCGGCTGACTGCACGGAATCAATGCCCACAAACTCAATAACACATTTGAATCCCCCATTGGGCATGGCCAATTAAAACGTAACCGGTTACAAGTGTTCATGCTTGGCTGGCCCCAAACCCAACTGTTTCTGCTTCTAGCCTCTGTATTGGAAACAGCAATGGCACAATTAAGGTAGCTGTTACTGAACAGGCAGCAGCTGTCACTGTTTGCCCCAGAGGGCCTGGAAGGAGTTCACAGCAGTGGGAAAAACAAGGAGTGGCAATTTTAAAATATACAGTGATCATTCTCACCACTCTACTTTCAAGTAGAGATAATAACATTAAACATTTCTCTTTTTGATGTGAAACTTCTGGACGGTTTTGTCTCAGCTGGTGTTTTCACCTTAACTGTACGCTGCGATGGAATGTCACTTTATAGATCTTCTTAAATGCAGTATTATTAAATTACAAATTTAAGGTCTCATACTCCTACTTCACTTATGCCTCTTTGTACATCTTTTTGAATTTGAGGAAGAAATGTTCAGAGAATGTACCTGGAAGCCTTCATCATCATAGTGGGTTTTCTATCAAAGATTTCTGACCACACAATAACATGACAAAGACTTTGTATCTATTTTGGTAATGTCAGATATATTAAAAACACTTGACGAGTTGATACTAATTTAACATGCGGGAAGCGAGCCACAGGTCGGATTCGAGCCCGGGCTGCACGCTTGGAAGGCTAAAGTCTCTGTACATGGGGCTTGCGCACTCACCACTAAGCTACCCCTACCCCTCTGAATATCTGTCCTCCACTTTCCAAGAGATTAGATAATCAACCGCAGGAGGAGTGTTGGGATAGGTTCATCTCGTTTGATTCCTTTCTCTCCAAAGAGAGAATTGGATTTTCAAAATATGACTAAAAACAACATCCATGGATCTCAGAACTATAGATAAATGTGAGATGATTATTATCTTGAGTATTACATCTAATAAGAGTCCATTTACATGTCATTAGATATCAGTAATTTGACTCAAAGGTAACATGTGAGAATGAAGAGGTGACTGAGTCCTGTGATTATACTTTTGTACAGTAGAGGGAGTAAAAGAGCAACCTGTGAGTTAAATACTTTGTATTTACATCAGTACATTTGAATAAACAGGAAATAAAAAAACAGACTGAAAACTTTACATTTCCAAAATCTATTTTCAAAATGTCTTTTTTTTTTATTGGTTTATGATGACGGGTGAAATACTATTTTGTATATGGGTCCAATAATAAATTATCTTGAACTGTATTAAAGCTTCAAAAGTAGCCCAAGGATTCCTAAATAGATCTAGAGATAATCCTACCATCTATGCTTCTGGGAAATGGGACCACCGACAACAGACTCTGTACAAGCAAGTAGAAAATTACGGCATGCAATTCCTGAGAAAGAGGAACTGGGTTTTAACTTGTTTCCTTGTCGTAATCAACAAGCAAAAACAGTGTTTCTCACCACAGGCCACAGGTCTTTCTGTGAAGTACCGTATGTCAAGAAGGAACATACCCTGCACACATTAGTGTAACAACAAAAATAGATCTCTCAGAAAATAAAAAACAACACTATAATCAATTAAACAACGGCTATTCTATGCTTGTTATTCACTAAAACTGTTAGGTAGGGTAGTCATGGCAACTGAAAACCAAAATTGAAAATATTAAATGTTTTAAAGACTACAAAAAAGTACCAATTCAAAAAAATTAAAAGACATATTTACTACACCTTCAAACAACTATGTCAATAAAGTACAATATTAACACAATTTTATTTAAAAAGTCAGATTATTGACATTTCTAGGATTTTTTTTCCTCCATCCAGATTTGCAAGTAAAGTCCAAATAAGAATTTGCTTTATGTGCTGCATTACAGTTGCTATGCCCCCCACACTTTGCTCTGAAAAACATCATTAAAAAAATGTAACGTTTACTAGCATGGTATTTGAAAGATATGACTGATAGACATATAAAAATATTGTTTTAGTTGAGATACATAAAGGGTGTTTGCATATGATGTCTAGCTTTTTCCAAGTAAAACTTAAGTTAATGGAAACCAATACTTCAAACAAGGAATCCTTTAAGGTATTCAAAATGCAAGAGTGAAGCTGAGTGTAAATCATGCAGGATTTTGTTGTAGGGACGTTTGATCGTTTTGTAGCTTCTATCGCTTGGCACAGACAAAAAATGAACCTCAGATCGTGTGGAGATTCCCCAACACGCACTCACTTGAAAAGTAAAACCACTGCATTAAAAAGACAAAATGATTTCCCTCTGAGGCTGACAGCTAATCCTTTCTGAGGGAATAATCATGATTTAACACAAATGTCTAATCATGATTCAAACCTTGGAAACATGGACACGAGTCTGCTCAAAAAGAAGGTCAACATGTTGAAGGTCCTGATAGCACATAGACGTACCCATTTTTTTTTCAAGATAATCAATATCTGAACAATGCTTTTGACAATTCAACATTTTTGCAATTGTGAAAAAAAAAAAAATCTTACAACACCCACAAAGTTAACATCACTCCTAAAACCAAACCAAACCTAAAGTCAAAATTGAAATGACATTCACTGTCAATCATTATTCAGTTAAAACACTCCGTTATAGCATTAACAAAAGAGAGGAGAAAGTCCTCTATATTCACATATCACTCCTCGTAGACAAAGTTAAATAAAAACTAAAATTCAATTCTAAATGTACACAGAAACTCGTGTTTCACGTTGCGACTAACAGTGCGTGTCAGCTCAGTAGCTTTTAGAGTCACTCCTTCCTGGATTCTGCATCCTCCTTCATCTTCTGCTCCTGCATGCGACTGCGAGTGGAGCCTGAATGAAACAAAACAAGGTTTAAAAATACAAAACACGAGGGAGACTAACTTTTAATATAAAAAGGCAAAAAGAGAGCTGAATCTAAAATGCTGTTGACTTACTCATTTCTGCGAGCTTCTGAATCAGCGTCGAGTCTCCTCCAGATTTGCTGTCAAAGAAAAAACATGAGGTGAACTTCTTTTTGATGTACAAACACATGCTTCAAAAAGTGCTGTGTTGGGTACAGTTTAAAAGAACATAACACCAGTGGTGACCAACCTGCCATCAGCTTCATCTTGTCCGTCCACGTCGAAGCGTAACCTCTTCAGAGGTTTCGGGGTGGAGCCGAGGTCCAGAGTCCTCTTAAAGGAGCGATCGCTGCTGTTTACCATCTGATTGATCTTCTGGAACCTGTTGGACAGCTGAGGAGGAAAACAGAAAAAAAAGAAGTGAATCTAGATATAATAATCACCATTCCAGTTGTTAGAATGAGATGATCCTTCTGGTATTCTACAAAACAAGAGTGCCTACCCCAAAAGATTCACCGATTGATACCAGCATTCTGCAAATACAAACAGACGGATGAGAAAAATGTATGACCAGATATTTTCTTCTAAATTAAAGAAGCCCTGAACGGCCATTTTGGTCAAAATATATATTTAAAAAAAAAAATGATTCTATGAAAATACCTGGAGCGAGGAGTCATGATACCCGGGGGACATGCGGGAGCTCTTCATAGGGGAGATGTACACGTTGTTGCTTCCAGGCACACGCAGGGGCGAGTTAGGGAACTTATAAGGGCTGCGTGGAATTTGTGGTATCGGAGAGAGGGTGGGTGGCTGCAGAAACAAAGCACCAGCAATGAGAGAGAATCAAAATACATATTTTAACCCATCCGTGCATTTGTTAACCACATTCACATTTTTTTTTTTTTTTTTTTATGTGCCTCACCCTGGTAGATGCATACTGCAGGATGTTGGTTTTCAACTTTTGCATGAACACTTGATTGTAGAAGACGATGATGGAGTCATAATGGCCCTCAGAGATCAACACATGCTTAAAGGTCTGCAATAAACAATATGACACAAAGATTGTACAAATTAAAAATCCTTTAAATGTCTTAGTTCATCATTAAAAGTTTGAATCGGCAAAAATACTGCTTTGAAGATGAAAGAGGTATTCATATCAAACAGAATCACCTCTTGATTGGTGTTGGGCATGTTCTTGTACGCTGTGACGATGGTCTTGAAGCGGAGATCAACGCTCTTCACTTTACATATGGCGTACATGGCGGACATCATCAGCTATAACAACCACATGAATTAGTTAGAGAGGGATCAGGAGAATGAATGAGTAAATTAAAGAGAGAGCAGCCTTTTTTCTCTTGTAACCTGGTCGAGGTGGCGGTCTCTCATCAGCTCGTGCTCGTGCTGCAGAGTGTGCTGGAACAGGGTCCATATGATGGGCTCCAGTTCAGGGTGAGAGGACAGCAGGTAGGAGCAGAGCATCTTCAGCCGCAAGTAGGCCAGGCGGTACACTACGGAGGGAAGAAACCATCAGGTGTCAGACTAAGAGATAAGCACCATGAAATCATGGTACTGTAATGAAAAACTAAATGATATGGGTTCTAAGGGGAGGAAAAAAAAAAAAAAAAAAAAAAAAAAAAAAAAACTATCTTCAAATGTATACCATGTAATTATTCATCTGAATGTTTGTTATATTTCCAGCGTATATCAAACTGCAGATCAGTTGTGACCAATAAGGTGAGTGTAATGAATAACAGTTTGGAACATGGCAGCGTCTTACATTTTACAGAAGTTAACCAGAATAACTCGATGTGTAAATTACACCAACAAAGTGTGAGTGCTTGAATGAGAACTTACATTTTTTATAAAAGAGGCTGAGGGAGTTGGACTTAGGGAGTCTTGGAGTCTGACCAGCAGGCTGGGTCGGAGGCTGAGAGGACGCCTGAGAGCTGGTTGTGGCCGAGGACTCAGGAGGCAGGACACGAAGACCTGGCCGCGTGGGAGACAGATATCTGCAGAGACAATGATTAAATCCATCATACCATGACCAGAAGGTTTACAATAAGGTAAGAGAAGAGGTTCAAGCTACAGACAGAAAGGCTCATAGGAAGTATAGTCATGAAATATTATGATGCAATCTCTGCACTTATGACTCAGTGTTCTTTTTCAACAGTAATAACGGTTTTACAGTCTTAGACCAGCAACTCATAAAAAGACAACTAGATTGTGGGATGGCAGACTTACAGGTCAGCTGCAGTGTGGTTGTGCTGCAATGGTTGGCTAAAGCTGGCTGGAGTCTCCACCTGCTCTGCTGCTCCGCCATCATGCTCCTGTTTCAGCAGCTCAAACAGCGGGGAACCCTGCAAAGACATTAACATACATTTAACTAACTGGTATGTTTTAAACTGGAAAATTGCAGTTCTAGAAAGCATTGTGTTGGATCTGTGAAACAAACCTGACATTTCAATTCCCACACTCTAACCAGAGGAAACCATCGTTTGTTCACCCATCAGATAATGCAACCTCGGCTTTTTGTGGCATGAAGAACCCTCAGACAGAATCAGGGCTGTTATGAGGGAACATAATTTATTTTGATGTTTATACTGTAGTGTACCTTACCAAATAAATAAGTTGCAAGTTTGGAAGTTAATAAATATCAACGTGTTCAGGAAAACATTCATAATGACATTTTTGCACAATAACCCAAAGGCTAATCTGTAACTAAAGACAGATAACACATTTGTCCCTGCTTTATGTTGACCCAAGGACACACCCTGGAATATACCTAACTGATAAAAATGATAATAATAAAAGAAGCCCCATTTAACAGAGACTAAATAATCATTTGGTTTAAAATGTGTAGCACCTAGACACCACAGCTAACTACACTCTTTCAACATGCAAACCACCAGACAAAAAAATAAAAAATCTGCCTCGAGCTCATTCAAGGAAGTGGGTGAGGTTTACTACTAAGCAGTTTACAGAAACTGCAGGTACAGACTTGATGTGAGAACATTCTTCAGGCATGCATGCCACGCCTGGCTGACACCACACGCACGCATTTCAAAAGTACACTTGATATTGAACTACGCTTCAGTGCATTATTGCTCTGGTTTAGTGTTTTCATTATAAGCAATGCATTGAGTAGGTATGACGCTATGCCGTATACTGTGTTAGCAGGGAGAAAATTCAGTCTCCTGCTGAAAACACACACTGCTTTTAGGAGGCTGATCTCAACACATCTAAAACGATTACTAAGAAAGCCCCCTGATTTCAGTTTGAAAAAAAAAAAAAAATGTGATGGACCGCATCACACAGGGTTTCAAGGTCTCATTCAGTGCAAAAAAAAGAGCCAGCAATAGGAGGACTTTGGTCCAGTTTTAGGCTCCTCCCTCCCTCTGTTTCAACTTTGTGGTGGAGCCTCTAACTTCACACCTGCTTAAGGAGAGTTGTGCCTGCTTAGGCTGCTGCAGGGACAGACAGGAGAGCGAGAGAAACGAAGAACTACTCGGCGGCTCACAGCTGAACAGAGGCACATGACTCCTCTCTACGAGGGATAAACATTGCAACATTCATCCGTGAGAGAAAAAGGGAAGAGACTCAAAAGCTCCCTTAACTCTGGAATTACTGAAACTGTAGGACAGCTACACTTACAGAAACATCAGCGCGAGTTTGGATACTACTACAGGTAAATGCTCCCTGCCTGTAGCACAAGGCTTGTCGAACAAACTGAACTTGGATTTTAATGCATCAGACTGAGGATAACTTTTGGATTTCTTTTAAATGTTTGAAGCTTTTCATGCAGATCTAAACATGTTAAATAGCACTCAACAAATGGGCCTTACGGGCGTCAACCAAAATCACATGAATTGCAACAAAAGTGATGACTTCAAGTACCCTCTGTATAGCTCTGTTTTCAGTGTGGTCTTTGTAATAGGACTGATCTTCAACACGGTGGCTGTGTACATTTTTGCCTGTACACTGAAGCTGCGGAATGAGACCACGACATACATGATGAACCTTGTTGTTTCAGACTCTCTCTTTGTCCTCAGCCTGCCGTTTCGGATTGCATACTTTGTTAAAGGTGAATGGCTGTTCGGAAGTGTGCTCTGCAAGATATCTGTTGCCCTCTTCTACACCAACATGTATAGCAGCATCCTCTTCCTCACCTGCATCAGTGTTGACCGTTTCTTGGCCATAGTGCACCCATTTAGGTCCCAGATTATTCGTACAAAGAGGAATGCCAAACTGGCCTGCTGTACAGTGTGGGTGTTGGTTCTTTCTGGAGGCATAACCACTGGGTTCCTTTTGGATACCACTTCACCCATAAATGCCAACTCCTCTGCACACTACTGCTTTGAAAACTACTCCAAAAAGCAGTGGAAGGCTGAGCTGTCGAAGGTGGTGGTGTTTATCGAGACTGTTGGCTTCATCATTCCTCTGCTGCTCAATGTCTTCTGCTCGGCCATGGTGCTACGGACTTTAGGGAAACCCCAAGCCATCAGCCGTGGAGGTAACCTCAACAAAACCAAAATCCTGAGGATGATTATTGTGCATCTGCTCCTCTTCTGCTTTTGTTTCATTCCCTACAATATCAATCTCATATTCTATGCCCTGGTCCGCTCCAATATATTAAAGGGGTGTGATGCAGAAGATGTGGTTAGAACCATCTACCCAATCGCTTTGTGCATAGCAGTGACCAACTGCTGTTTTGATCCAGTTATTTACTACTTTACCTCAGAGGCCATCCAGAGCTCCATCAGACGCAAGTCCACAGTGTGGTACAACGGTGCCAGGCTATTCGACAGGCTGCAAATAGACAGCTCGCAGAGCAGTCCAAGCGCTACACCCAAAAGCCTGAACCTGAGGTCCCAGAGACCCAAAATGTTTGACAATGAGTCGACTGTCTGAACATCTACTAAGTAATGTTTTGAATAATTCAGTGAGTATTGCTGGTAATACTTGATTTGTATTGGAGGACGCAGGTGGAAGCAGAGTGGCCTTGGAGATCATAACAACACGCAAACACAATGGTTACTAAGGAGTCACACTCTCGTCTACTGGGCGCCACAAAGACTTTAGACTGGGACTTAAGAGGCTGATCCCTCCAATCAATAAAGAAGGGAAAAGTTTTCGACAAGACATTTTTAAACTGTGTTTTGCAGCATAGGTACCCTTAAAAAAGGACGGCAATTTACATCTTGGATGTAAAAGGAGTATTAATTCTATAAAGATACGAGATAGTAATGTCAAAGTGAAAATAATGATGGTGTTTATTCCATAGTCATGAACATGGTGCTGCAGATAAGTATGAGCTGATGTTGTATATGTAGACGCACTTTATAGAGCGGTGTGCTCTATAACAGCTTTTATTTGTTTTACTGAAAGCTAATAAAAATGATTTTCTACTTGTTTGATAAACTGGGGTGTTGTGAAATATTTGACATAGTAAGGTATTAGTCATTCCTATTTCACCGTTTATGAGTGCAAGCAAATGATTTGTCAAGACCTGTAAGTCGTAGTTGGCCACTGCCACACACTTATTGAATTAGTCAATCTGTTTTAAAATGTAGACTCCAGGTATGGTATATATTTGACAGCTTTGTAGCAACGGCCAACAACAAATGAACAGTGCCTCATCAAGTAGGTGTTAAACTCTATAAGAACAGAAAAAATGAAGATATGTCGATTTGTTAACACACTTACTCATAAGAAAATCTAAAGCTCAACTCTGTGTAAATGGAAAACAGAGCAGCTGGAATGCAAGTGAAATATTTGTTCTTTCTTGTTAAAAAAAACTGTTCTGCAAGACCGAGCGCTACTGCATTCTTGTTGCGAGGCTTAGCCTAAGGGGTCTGCACTGAGATCAGTTCACTCATCCTCACTGCTCAATGATGGGAAGGGTTGTGAAACAAAGCAGGCGAGCGACAACATGCCTCCGGAGAGAAAAGTACGTTTACTCAATAGAGCACAGTTGAGGTTACTGAAAAAGAAATGGTAAATAATGCAGAATAGAAACAGAAAGCGTAAGCTAAAAGACTATTGAAAATGTCTGACTTTACCACGTTTGGACTTGCTATTCTTATTTATGGCAAACAAATATAATTCCACCCAGAAAGCACATACTTACATTTGCAAATAATATTAGAATAAGGTCTGGACCTGGTCTCTATGTCTTGAGATAACAATAAAAAGATTGATTGACTAAAAAGGATAATTGAGTCTGTTAAAAAAAGGCATCTGATTAATCCAAAAATGAAATCATAAAAATATAGCCTTTTATCATTTAATACTACATACCGCTTTAAAACTAGTGATTATTAAAAATGATGTGGATATCAGACAATAGAACATAATTTTGCTTGTGCCATTAGGATTTATTGAATAAAAAGTGAAACTCTTACCCCTCACCACCAACTCTCTCTCGGTTGTCACGTCATTCATAACATGACTGTGAGGTGTATATTTTATTTGCATTAGATAAAGACTTGTGTCCTTTGTTTATTCCTACTTACCGGTAATTGAAATTGTCTCACCAGAGCTAAACAGTGTAGCTAAGTCTTACTACATGCCTTTTGAACCTTACATCTAATATGATCAATATGAAAGAAAAGAAAGAAAAACGATGTGCATTCAAGGTGCCAAAACAATCATTTTACACAACTTACATTCTCAGAGTGAAGAGGCTTTAACTTTACGTCTGCATATAAAAGAAAATTATTTTATGATCTCTCTTGGGCTCCAACAGCCATAGCCTGAGGCATACCCTCGATCGTCCCTCCTCAAAAGCACCTGTACAAAGGTTTTCTACAAGGACACAGATATACCGATGTCCAATTACAACCCCTAGTTTCAGTGCTTTGTTAGTGGCCAACAAATAAAGTTAACAATTACCGGTAACTCAAATCACATGCAGGTTTATAACTGGCAGCCATAAAGGGATCAGACGTAATGAAAAAATCTGTGCAATAATTTCTGAACTGATGACACGATTCAGACGAAGTAAATGTTAAAAACCAGATAAGGAGACTCAACCCTAACTAGGTATCAGTATTTATTTTCAAAGAGGTTGAAAACAAAGGTGTGTGAAGACGAGGAGTGAGGGAGGGAGTAGAAGAGGATAGAGGGTAAGAGAAAGAGAGAGAGGGAGAATTTAACCTGTGTGTGGGGGTAGGCGTGTCATCACAGCATCCTAACACTGATCCTGCTGCCGAACACCAGCTGACCGGATAAATGTCTTCATCAAAGGGTCACTGAATCGATGACATCCTGATACTGGTGAGTGTTGTTTATCTATTTGCTGTGTTTAAACGATTGTGCTCGTATAAACACTACGTGATATTAGAGGTTTGATTCAAATGTTTTTGTTACAACTTAAAATATATACAGTATATATGGATTGTCAATCAGTTCCTCAGGATTGCATTCAGATCAATGCCAGAGTAACGGACTCATCAGACATCGTATCTGAATTATGATACAGGACTCAGTATTTCTGCAAAAAGGAGATTCAATTTGAGTAGGACTATAGAAGAGAAAAGAAGTCCAGGATTTGTTATAGAAAATAATATAGTTTCATCAAATGCTTTCTCTGAGATTGAAAGAAAACTTTCTGAAAGTTTACATTGGAAGGTGATCAGTGTTTAATAAATTCATGTAGAGATTAATTTTGTGTCTTGAATATGTGGAGTTTTTCAAAAGACTAAATTTCAGGTGCATTGTCAAAAGAAAAACTATTACGGACGAAGAAGTTCTGAATCGTGATGGTACGTTTTACATAAAAGAAAGAATGCTCACTATCAGACGTTTCTGACTCTGACGAAAAGATATCTGACCAAATATTTGCTTATGCACTAAAAACTACTGCCATCATTTTATGTAAATGAACTATGAATATGTCAATGAAATATTATGAGCATTGCTAAGTATTTACTGCAGGGTGATGGTATTACAAAGTCAGATCTTTATTTTTCCCCACTGCCTGTAATGAAACCAAATGTGTGCTTACTTTATGGGAGCAGGAATTGGCAGTTAAACTTTATTGTCAGAATGCGTCTGATTGTCGTCTTGCATATCAAATATTAATTTACCCGTGTTAGCTCACGTAGTGTGTTCATGTCGCCTCCGTATATTTACATCCATAAAACAGCAGACTTTAGGGGTTTATTAAATTTTGACTTGTCACAGGTTTAACTACACCAGCAGAACCTTCTGAAGTGAGTTGAAGTGTTGGAGCAGAAAATCATTTTTGAACATGGAGCTGTGGAATACTACAGATGAGCCTGAAACGCCATTCTCACTTCTGTCTAACTGCACGATAGACACCAGCTACCGCTTCACCTTCTATCAAGTGTCTTACAGCGTCATCTTCCTGTTGGGGTTAGCAACTAACAGCCTAGCTCTGCACAGATTGCGTCAGTCTTCCTGCGCAATGAGCAGCACCGCCATCTACATGGTCAGCCTGTCTGCTGCTGATATGTTCTTTGTAATCTCTCTGCCTCTAAGAATCTACTACTACAACCAGAAGGCTAAAGACCCCTTCAGCTGGACTCCTGGAATAGCTTACTGCTACCTCACCTTCATTCTCAAATACATCAGCCTGTATGGAGGCATCTTCTTCCTGGTGTGCATTGCTGTGGACCGTTACTTAGCTGTAGTGCACCCGCTGGTGACTATGCATAGCAGACAGCTTGTTGCACAGCTGCTGAGTGGGGGAATCTGGTGCCTGGTGCTGGGCCTGAGTATAGGTCTGCCTCTGCTGCGCTCTGCAGCTGCTCAACAACATCAGCCCTGCCTGCTGGATCCGTCCTCTCACCGCCACCGCACCATCATCCTGGTAGCTCTTTGCTTAGTGTGTGGGTCATTTCTGCTGCCAACAGTGGTTCTTCTTTACAGCTACTGCCGAGTGCTGAGTGTGCTCCGCCAGCCAAGACACCGCTCCCGCAGCAAGCGCCACAGCCGAAAACACACGCTCAGACTTATTTACCGTGTGCTGGGTGTCTTCCTGCTCTGCTTTGTCCCTTATCATATCAACCTCCTGGGATACACACTCACACATGTGGGGCTGCTGCCACACTGTGGTCTTGCAAAGGTGACCAGGGCTGTGCACCCTGTGGTGCTATCTCTAGCAAGCTCTAACTGCTGCCTCAACCCACTCATCTACTATTTTTCCAGCAGCCTGGTGCACAGAGAGGCGCTTGGAGGTGGAGGCAGTAGCAGACATTGACCCAGATCATTTGACCCAGATCATTTGACCCAGTTCTTTAAAAAATAAATAAATAAATAAATAAAAAAAATAAAAAAAAAGGGAACGATGTAACCATACCTTACAGAAACTACAGCACTATAATGTACCTCTCGTAAAATTTACATACTGTGTAAATTTCTTCAAAGTTAGAGCATGGTGTGTGTTTGAGACATCATTTACATTCATTGAAAGGGTTCAATATGTTCACTTAAGCCCACAGCAGTGGTAACACATGAAGCAGTCTGAGGTTCAGCGCTATGCATAGAAGCATTTATTTCAATTCAGATATTTTTGTCAGGACTCTAATGTGTGTGAAATGCAATGAATTTTAAAAGTAGTCCAAATAATCTACAGGAAAGTTTTTCTTCTAATGTGTATGTAATGCTATATAAAGCTTATTTCACAGCACTATCTGTCTTTGTTGTATGTAATGATGTAATCAGTGTGCAGTGACATAATAACTAGCATACATTAGAAATGATAGGAGACTAAACTGACCGTCCTCCATGCGATCCTCTCCATGATGAGGTTCTCGCAGATCTCCAGATGCTTGACAATATCTTTGCTCAGGGTGGGGTCGGCCTTGATGAAGCTCTCGATAACTTTGTAGAAGTCAAAGGCTGGGAGGTTGACCACATCCAGTATCCAGGGGAAACACATGTCTGTTTCAGCCGCTTCACAACCATCAAGGTTGTATCCTCCCGTCTTAAAACTGCTCTCTGATCACAAAAAGCAAAAAAAACATACTGAAAACCTGTATCAGATCAACAACACAAATACCAATACAACTTAATACTAATAGCTGCCTCAGATTTAATATGCCACTGCATGTGTAAGTAACATGAGACAAAATGTGGGACACACCTCCATACGTCGCCATAACTACTTCCAGAGCACAGGCCACAAGTGAGGTGTGAAATGTAGAGTCATTGAGGAGTTTACTGAAATGAAAATCAAACAGAATACAGTAGGTTTCAAAATAAAATAGAATGTAAAAAAAATAATACATATGTGAATACAAACAAGTTCATATTTCCCATTGATAAATGAAAAAACCTGAAAAAGCACATACCTGAAATTTTGCACCGACAGTCGTTTCTCTTCCTACAAAATAAATAAATAAATAAATAAATAAATAAATACCAGTAAGTGGTGAATTTAAGAACACAAAAACAACATGAACGTTAGGGACTCATGACACTATGTAAACTACAGATCATGCAAGTTGGGGCCTATCTACATGGTTTATGTAAACAAATGCTTGAAGAGTAAAAGAAAAATGTCTGAATGCAGAACATGAATTGTTGTTTTTTGAGACACATCTTTGCCATTTACCCTGGGAAGTGCATTAACCTGATCCACTAAGGGGAAAAACCAAGACAATGTACAATTATTGGGGAAAAAAGGAAAAGTACCGATTTCAGCATTGCCTCCATGATTTTGTAATACAGTCTGACACCGAGGGTAAATCTCTGAAGGGCAAAAGTCAGAGAAGAAAGTCATTCAATTAATTTCAGTTTATCACGTATTGCCATCGTTGTTCATCATCTTCCTGGGTGGATTTCATACCTGCCTGCCGAGTACGACACAGCGCGGGCCGACTGCCTGACCAAACCTCTGGCTGAATGTCAGACCAAGTACCTCCAAACGCTTCAGCACGCCCTGCGTTGGGTCCACAGTGCAATTCTGTTGACATGGGGGGGAAAAAAAGACAAGTTCAATAAAAGGTCGAAGAAGCCCTTCCATGAAGCATTTTAATTTGAGCCAAAAGTTGACTTCACCCACTTTGAAATATGTAGCAAGGTTAGTAGATGGCTGGTCCCCACTGCAGGTGAGGTCACCTCTCAGTTGTTTAATGGAAGTCATGGCAGCTCTGATGAAAAAAAAAAAAAAAAACAGACCGAGCTGTAAGACATAATAACCAGAACAATCTGTAATGTTTGGTTTCCCATGTTTGGGTGCTACAAACATTTGAAAGATGATGCTATACATATTTGTACAATTTATTATCTTGTAAGCTGAACAATTGTGTTAATTTGTAGTTGATCCTGCTTTAGGGGCCGGCAGTAGCTCAGTTTATAGGGACTGGGTTGGGAACCAGAGGGTCGCCAGTTCAAGTCCCGGGGCAGACCACATATGGGAGTTGGTCTGGTAGCTGGAGATGTGCCAGCCGAGGTCCGCTTGAGCAAGGCACCTAACCCCCAACAGCTCTGGTGTGCTCCTTGTAGCCCTACTCTGACATCTCTCCTCTAATGCATGTCCACATGTCCTGTTTGTGCATGTGTGTGTGTATTTAGGGCCTGTGTGTATGAGAAGCATGTCTGTCCAATAACAGAGTGTAAACAAGAATTCCCCTCAGGGATTAATAAAGTATTCAAAATAGAACAATAAAAGAAATGTATAGGACCACTCTCCTAAATATATTTAGTGGATATGTCTGCACGTTTTAAGATGTTATTTTGAATTGGGATATGTTACACTGTAGTTTTTTTATTTGATTTTCAGCTCTAAACTTTTTCAAATATTCACATTAGTCATTTCAAAATGCACACATTGATAGCTAAACAGCCAATACTGTTTGTTTTTAACTGTACAAACATTCAAGCAGATGCTGCTGAGAACCAACACTTCTCACTACTCATGTCCTTCACCTTGGGATAAACAATATAGAGTCGGCTAGTGACTGCTAAGCGCTCACCTGATGGGAGTCTGGGGAGGGATGATTCCAGCGTCTTCATCTGGAAAGTTCTTCTTTGGCGTTCTCTCCACCTGTGATCTGAATTCAGGTGGGGATTATTAAACACTATATTTAACATGACATTTAAACAATCAAAACCTTAGAAGAGAAAATAAATTACATCTCCACTTTAGGCATGAGAACAGTCTCATCCCCGTCGAAAAACAGCCGTCCGTCAAAGTCTCGGCTCTTGAGGTAGTGCTCTTCATACTGTTGGTTTAGGTCAGACACCTGTGGTGGAAATTAAAGGATGAACTTACTCAAAGTAAAATAACAAAAGTAAAGAGCATCCCTGTTTCATTAACTGCACTTACTTCTGCACATTGTTAATAAAACATCTGCAATGCATTGATACTACCATTAAATTCTATATTTAATTAAACCTAAGGTGCTTAAATATACATGTAAATTAAAATATGGTTCCTTTATGAACGAGTACGTTAGCATTGTACATTATGTTACCAGCTCTATATTTGAGGTGAAAATGAAATGCACCCTGTACTACTGTAAGAGGATGTTTTCCCTTTGTAGGATTTGCAGGAGGCAAACTATTCCTTGTACTGCTACATAGATTAAGAGAGCTCAGATGTGGTGTTTGTTTACGATGTACCCAGGCCTCTCATAACTGAGATCAATAAGGGGAGACATACACATAAAGGTATATGAGACCCTTGTAGAGTACAGGGGGAAATTGAACAGTTAAATAAATATGTCCTGTGTTCTTCTTCAGAGGAGTGTGATGTTGTCAGCAAACAGTAGCATCCTGTCTCTTTTGTTTTCATACCTGCCTCTGCCATATACTACCCTGAAACACTAACAAATGGTCCCCTGCTTGAGTACACATTTTCCTGACACCGTGTATTTAAAAACAAACATGTCTAAGCGGCAAAGAGAACACCTGACAGCTGTCGCACACTAAAACATTCACCAATGACAACAGCAAGCAGGAATGGATAACTAATACAGTGGGAGAAGAGCAGATGTAGTAAAAAAAAACAAATCCCTCCCTACCTGAGGAAAATCTGGAGATTTGGATAGATCCAGTGAGTCCAGGAAGGCTGAGAAACTCGTCTGGTATACATTCTTCACCTACAAAGACAATTACAAGGCAATTGAAACCAAATACTCACAGAGCAGAGGGGATTGAAATATGTTTAGAATATGACTGTAGGAAGTGTACAGAGAGGGGGGCTCAGACCTCTTCTGTGTTGCATTCATTCTCGTCGCACAAGGTTTTCAGAAGCTGCAGGTCCACCTCTGGTTCTGCAGGTCGTGATTTGGCTTTGCTCTGGTTGCGACGAGATGTCCGTGTTGGGGGGCTCTGAACTTTGCTGATAGCTGATTCTAAGGGGAGAAAACACTGAAGTTGTTTGATGTCTGAATGATACTCATAAACAAAGTATCCTTTCAGAGAAAACATTGAAAACGTCCCTATCCCAAAGAAAACCAAGCTGAATGACTACCGTCCTGTTGCTCTAACCCCCCTCATCACAAATTCTTTGAGAGAATAATTCTCTCCTACATTAAAGTAGCAAAAAAGATCAACAGATGATGCACACAGCCCCCACATAGCAGTGACAATAAATACATATTCTATTCAGTAATAAAGGCTTATTAAGGAAACAGAGAGGCTAAACGAGTATATCTAATGAAGCTTACTGTAAAGAGGCTGCAGAAGCTCTGGAGGGCAGCGCTTGATGCACAACTCCAGAGTACAAAGCAGCAGCTGGAACGATATGACCAGGTCATCTTCCACCTGTAAGGCCCTTCCTGCAGACAGCAGAGACGCAGAACATGAGAAGCAACGCCATAACACTATTGCTGTGGACTGACAACAACACAACTGTGACAATGAGAAGATTAATTTTTACAATTAATTCACAGCCCTTAAAAATAGCACGAGAGGAGGATGAACGGAAGAAGATGGCAACACAATAATGCTATTCTATGAAGTGTGTTTCCAGCTCTATCCTAATAATCTACCTTTGGCCAGAAGAAACATTGTCCAACAGCTCCGCATGGTCTCCCTCTCCCTTGAAAAGGCACAGTGAACCATTAATCATGCACCTTCACCACATGAAGATAACAAAAAAGAAGGGTAATAAGGACATTTCACTTATATGGTGATTTAATGTCCAACTTACTGTTCATCCGCGACCAAAGCAAAGATTTTCTTGCATGTTCTGAAACAAAAAGAAGTATTTAGAGTAACAACTTTACCCAAAATAATTCTACACGCGTCAAGCACTGAATCTGAATTCATGTGATCACTCACTTCTCAAACCTCTGGTAGAGAGCCAGGGTCACATCATACTTGTTCTCCAGGCGCGAGAGAGCTGAATTCACCTTGGTGCTTATAGTATCCAAGTTCACATCCAACTTCCTCACCAGAGCGACAAACTGTTTCACACTACAAAAATCATGTGTGGGTGAGAGATCAAATCAACACTTAAAATTGTTAACATGTAACATTCTTCCACTGTCTGGGATTTAGAACACGAAAGAAAAAAGGACACTTGATAGGTTTTTACATCAGGCAGTAAGAATGAGTGCTACATCACAGGTTATTGTGGATAACAAAGATACACCTGTGAGTGATAAGGAGCACACGATAATAACACGACATCACGCACTTTGACTTCAAAGTCAATACTTACTTCAGATTGACTGCTTTCAGGACCTGCGTTACAGTGAAACAGGAGACATCCATGTCTGTAGCTGACACAAACAGACATGCCCCCCACAGCCTTTTCTGACTGTCCTGAAATGAAATGTAAACAAAAAAAAAACTACATATGAATCTTAGAGAAAACATTCTAACCCTGACCTTTGTCCAACGGCTAGAGCTTCACTGACACAGATGCAACTTCTCACACAAGACCCGTGGGTGCCTAGTACGATACACCTTTCTGGAGTTTCTTTTTAAAAATCTGGGACTATATTTTCCATAAAAGTCAACTTTTGTTTCTGACCTCGGCTTCTGCTTGAAAGGCGACTGACTGAGCAACATACTTTACATGTTTGACTAAAGATCCTTTATCTGAAGAAAGCCGCCATTAAGTGTTTAGACAATGACATTTATTTGGCGTGACAACATTCTCATTAAATAGTTACAGCCTGATGCCAGAGTGGACTTTTCTCTTCAGACCAAACTGAGTCAACTGAGCTGTCTCCTTCTATTATCAGACAGTCTTCAACCAAACAATGCCAGTCAATAACATACTTGAAGACAGACCAACAAGATCACATCCAGCCTGTAACACACACACACGACAAATACATACTGCGACTTCTTCCAAGGAGTCTTGAACAGTCTTCCACAGCTTCCAGGCTTGTTCACACAGCACGTCTGAAACATGAAGACCTTTACACAGGCTGACAAACTCAGCATCCTTGTCTTTGTGTCTAGAGAATAAAGACAAAAAAAAAAAAAAAGAGATGATCATGGACAGCACAAAAACAGTAAATCCAAAACATGCTGCACTGATTACTACAGACCCCCTGTGGTGAAGTCAACAGCTTTAAAGCTCCTGTTACACCTTTTGGTATATACTTATTCCCCGTGGCTATTTCTTAGAGTTGAATGGCGTTAATGTTAAGAGGTATTAGCTCTTAATACAGGCCTGGCTGGAGTACAACACCAGCACAGACTCACTGAATAACAGACTACAGAGTAAACTTCCTATGACTCTAGATGTGCTTCTGCATATTGAACGTGAAAATACGAATTTCCTTGCCTTTTAACAGACAACTCTGGACTCTCCTTCTTGTCCGGAGAGGCACTTCCAGCACCGGACCTCAGCTCCTTGTTCTGTGCCGTCCCAGCGTTTCGTTTTTTCGGTGGCATCTTGGTGTCCAGTTACCTACCAGGGCAAATACAAGACTTTATAATAGAAATGTCTTCAAGAAGCAACGAAAAAAAATTAGCTTTACAAAAAATTTAAAGCCCAGTTTACAAGTTCCGTGGCAACAATACAACAACCCTGACTGACTTCCTGAAACCGTGACGGAGTGGTGCTCGTTTTGTCACGCCACCGTGCGCCGCCGGCTGCATTCACCGACGGTGTGTCGACATTTAGACGCCCTGTAAAGTCTGCGTTCACAATCCCAGTTGTACTAACCTGTCGACGGTGTTATTTGAAGATTCTTCTGTGTCGAAAAACTGTTTTGTTATCGCGCCATATGTAGCCCAGCGAGCGCGCTGCTTGATCACGTGACCAGCCGAAAACGAACTAACCCAAAGTCTCGACACGAAAACGCGGGAAAATGTCTACGCAACTTCCGTTCATTTGTGTTTATCCCGCCACTAAAGACAAGGGTGCAAAGGGTTTTTATGAACAATGCATAAGACGAGTAGGTGACACGTAAATTCAGCTAATCGAATATTTAAATAGCGGTCTTGAAATTATGTTCAAATTTTGAAATAATCACTCAATTCTCCACGTGAGCGTGTTTTAAAATGTGTTTACCTTTCACAAAAACTACCTTTTTCAGTTTTTGACGCGTTATGACGCAGTACGCACTTGATCAGTCATGAATACATAGTCATCAATAATATAGGTTATTCTTCTCTTAGTTTCGGTAGTCCCCACAAATGTCACGTTTTAGCAATCTATTGATGAAGTCAGATGAATGTCCCCGCAGTCTATGGTCCCCCACCCTGCACTGATGGTCCCAACGATCGCCCTCTTGTGGTAAAAGTCATACATTGCTTATACAAACGACTGCAAGGTTTGAGAACCTTCATCCTGGTTACTGCACACATTAAACATAATTTAACTCCATTTAAGCAGTCATACTTTCATTGTGATCCTTATGTTCAGGGTGTGTGTGCTTTACCTCATCGGAGATGGTCAACAGCGACTGTTCAGATCACAAATGTTGAGTTTTCATCACTGTTTTGAAACATTCATTTTTTTGTTTCTGTTTAACCTATATGGAAGAAAAAATACCAGACTAAAAGTTTAAGATATGGCTAAACAGAAGGACTAAATAGTTACAGAGAGAAAAACATGTTTAATGTATTATGTACACAGATAACACATGGACAAGACAGGGCATCAAGGTGTACAAAGGCAAAAACGAAAAGATGAAAACGTAGGGCTTTCCTGACAAGGCAAACAATCCTAAAACAAAGGACAATAAAATACTTTTCAGCAAAGCAAGATGCTTTGAAAGAAAAATCAATGACTAAGTGGCCTTTGTAACACAAAGTCGAGTAAAATACAGTGATGTCATTGTACGATAATATTTTGAAATAACTGTGATGATGAATTGCCAATAAATAACATTCAAACAGCCTTTGTCTTCATGTTTAGGCAGGAGCTCAAGAGGATTTTCTGGCACAAACTTCAACTGACAAGGTGCATGAAGAGTGAAAGGCTTAGAAGAGGTCAAATTGCTCCAGCAAAACTCATCAGGGTCAAGATTAATACCATGAAAATAATCATGTTCCTTTGACCAATGAGCACCTCTAAATAGAAGAATTCAACCAATGATATTCAGTTACTTAAGGAGTGTTTTGTGCTTATTGACAAAAGAGAAGAATATATTATCCACTGAAGGACAATCAAAGCCAAGATCCAATAACATGAAAAAGTAAAAACCAACCTGTGTGTAAAAACCAACCTTTGTGGTGAAGGCAACAAAAGATGGTAAATAATTTGAAGTTACCTTTAAAAGCCCATCTTAAATACATTATACACTGTAAAATGCAGATCTTAAAAAAGACAATAGCTACTGTATGCATTTTAAATGAAAACTTGAATTCACTAAGATGAAACGTCTGAGTGGTAAACATGATAGAGACACAGAAACTACTTATTTTTGCAAGTGTCTTTTAATCTATTTACTATTGAAATATTTTAAGCAATACATTTTCAAGATGGATTCAAATAAATCCTGACTGTGTCATCACCACAATTTGGTCCGTCTGTCAATTTCCGGCTTAATCCGAGGTTGTTGAATGCCATCATGAAGAGTCATTGCACTTTTCAACCATTAAAAGTTAATTATACATGGATAAAATAATAAATAAGATAAGCAGATATGTGGCAAGATCATCATCCCAATGTCCTGTTAAGAGTCCTACTATAGGAAATTTAACTGCATATTCTACAGAATGTAAAAAAAAAAAAAATACAAATTAAAAATCCACAATATATAAATAAAGCAAAGAAAATCCACACTGCCCAGCAGGACACAGTCTCTTTAGACACGGCCACCAGAGCCTCGCTGGAGCCTAAAACCTCATTATTGACAATATGGTATTTTTTTTCTAGGCTGCGTAAACATAGTGAAATGAAAATGACAGATATGACAAAGGAGACACCAGACACAGTGTTGGTGGTCAGAGCGTCAGAGGAACGTTTAGCAGGTCAATCTGTTTCTTCACGTAGTTTGCTCATCACTGTTAGTTCGCCCCATGCTCTCTGTCACGCCTCGCTTCTCATCTCCCAACTCATCGCAGTGTAGTCCATGTCTGTGAGCGTGACAGTGAATGGAGCCTCCACCCTCTCTGGCTCCTCCACTCTTGCCGTGCTCCTCAAGTTGTTCACCCGCCATGAATTCAGAGGCCGGATTGATTTATGGAAACGCTGGGGGAAAAAAAAGAAAAGAGAGAGGGTCATTAACTCTGATCAACAGGCAATCTCATCTAAAAATGATACACGTTTAAAATCATTCACCACTTGTTATGCTCAGTTTGAGCAGATCTAGTGTGGCTGAGGTGTAACATTGTACAATACAGTGACATGACGTTGACACTCACATCTTTCAGAGTTCCAGTTTCTTTGCTGATGGCCACAATGGCCCAGATGAGGATTTGCAGACAGCAGGTCGCTCCTATACACACGCCCAGTGCTTTACCCCACCGTGGATACACATAGGACCCGTACAGGAGCGATGTGTTGTACATCTCAATGAAGATGTAGGTCAGGATGAACTACAGGCGCAAGAGGAGAGGTGCAGAGTGAGCAGTGGGAAGAACAGAAAGCCACAGAGAGAGAGAGAAGGTCAGCAGAGAAATGCTTCCAGGGGGAACTCAGATTGAATGTCAGTTCCTCCTCTTCAATTATTCACAACAGTGCTTGAGAAGATGTCAGTACAGTTGGCATTATTTCAAAGTTGTGATGTTATTTCAGTTCTCTAGATGGAACTTTTTCTAACAATAGGTAACTTAGTTTACATACTACCTGAGTCCCTTAATGGGATAATGAGCATCACATTACCCTTTGACAGCAAGTGAAACATGTATTACAATGAAAGGTGGCATCAAATGACCGTTTCTATATAAATCAGCCAAAACAAGGATTCTGCTTCAGGGGACAGGAGCAGTGAGGAAACAAAACTACTGTAAAGCTACTCGATCACCTTTAACCCAGCAATAACTGTTCAGCTCATAGAGATCCTTTAGACTCTAAATGTTTTTTCTACATTATTAAATGTCTGGCTTTCAGAAAGAATACAAACATTGATGATAATGAAGAATTTCAAAGCAGAACTGAATAAGAGAATAAATATATTTAGAATGATTAAGAGCCTGCAGGATGAGACCGATCTTTAACCAACAACTTGTATATTAATCTTTCTTCCAAAACAGATGAGGCAAATAAAAAAATCATACACCTGATAGTAAGCGAAACTTTAAATTGAAAGATGCACATTTTGCATCATCAGTATTCTGGTATAGTACCTACAAACTTCAGTGGAATAGATATCTACCATAAAACAACTTGTATTGATATTCTTAAAAAACATGTGGAATACTTCCAATGCTTAGGGACTCAATTTGCACCTGTCTCTCAGAAAACATGAAGAATTCATATAAATGCAAACGGTATGTTCAAACTCACCAGCAGCAGAAATGGAGTGATGACAACCCAGCATGCTTTGAAGTAAAGCAGCAATATGCTGCACCAAGGAGGGCAGTGGCAGATCATATCAATGATGTCCTGACAGAACTGGTTCACTCCTGATAGAGAGGTGCATAAGATGCAGAATGGGAACCCATGATTAAATGAGATATCATAAGGACAACAAAGAGAACACACAGTGTTCAATGTGGTATTTATAAGAACAATAGATTGTGAGAAATGGAAACAAATAATTTACAGCAGTCAAAAACTTAATGATGTCAGCAGTTATAAAATCAATACTGGATTTGATTAATTCCTCTTCTTTATAAACATCAGGGCCTGTATTCACTCTGAATCCTCTCAGAGAGCGCCTAACGTAGCTTCAACATATCTGACAAGGAGTCTTAGCTCAGGAGTGATTTAGGAACATTCTCAGAGCAACACTGAGCGAGGAAGGGACTGTCACTTTTATCTTTGTGAGGAGGCGCAGATTGACTGTGTTGCTAGGCAAGACACATTCTTTGAAAAAGTTGTGATTGGCTGATCTAAAAAAGAGAAAAAAAAAAAAAAGAATAAAACTGCCTAACTTCTCTGGTCAAAACAAAAACAGACCATTAGGGACCAGAATCTAATGGCTGCTGCATTGTTGTCAGAGAAGTCAGCACTTCAACATGTCATGTTTTCTATAATGTTGGATGATATAGTAAGGTCCTTTAATGATTTAATTCAGTAGATATCTTACATAATGCTCCTTTAACATGAGGCTATGTCAAAGCTCTCTTAAGGACTAAGATACCTTCACAAGGATCTAGTCTTAACTTTAAGGGATAATTCTGAGCAAATGTCACGATTCTTAGAATATCGTCACAAGGAGCATCTCTTTGTTCTTAGGAGGCTTTGTGAATACAAGCCCAGATTTCCTGGATGACTGGAGGAATGGTGAGGTGTTACTAAAGTTTGATGTAAAGGTTAGGGGTAATGAGATAGTTCACCATAGAAGAAGGAGATGCCAATGCACATGAAGAGGGTGATGATGATGAGGCCGAAACTAGTGCTGAAGGCGTCAATGAGAGTGAACCAGTAAATCCCACCCTATGAAGACACACAGCATGGGGTATATGAGAGTGATCACAGAAAAGACACAGTTGCAGCTGAATTCATAACATATTGCATCTCTTCAGAATCCCAAACTCACATCAGTCACTAACAGGAGACCCATCAGGTAGAAGCAAAAACACAGAGCACCCAGGAACATGGACTTGTGCAGCGCGTTCTCTCTGAGATGTGGGAACTCGTCCAGCACAGCCGTTGTGATGCCCTCCATGTTACCAAACTGTAAAGACAGCAGAAAAGAAGGTATGAAACATATGGACTTGTACGTCTTTATTTCTGCTTATGTCTTGGTGTGGTGTGTGGGTTTACCAGTGTATCGATCCCCAGCATAAAGAGCATGAGGAAGAACATAATGGACCAGAACACCGAGCCTGGCAGCAGAGCAAGGGCTTCTGGGTAAGCAACAAAGGCTAGCCCAGGACCTGAAGTGAATACATGAAGTCCAGAAAGGCAAATTATAGATACGAATGCAGTAAAATACAATTTTAAAGTATGGATTTATAAAGAATTAGGAAAAGAATTGGTTAAGTTTGTAAATAAATTAGATGCCAATACATTTGTCAGGGAGGTCAGTTCAAAGAAATAAAGACTAGTGTATGTTGTGTTTAGAATGAAATATTCTTGGATACAAATAGACAAAAATACACAAGTATCCTCATAACTCACTAAAAATGCTTAATTTTGCAAGTTTAGCTGTCTGCATTGAAGAATTTAAACAAGATTACTGAGCAAAGTGACTACCTGTATCTGCCACCTCTCCCACAGGCACCCCTTTCCTCCATGCCATGTGTCCCAGGATGGAGAAAATAGCAAATCCTGCAAAGAAGCTGGTGCAGCAGTTTCCTGTGGTGATGATCAAAGTGTCCCTGAAACCAAAAGAAGCAGGATGAAAAGTCCGAACCTTTCATGGCAGTAAAACAGATCCAATGCAACATTGGAGCTCGTACTCACCTGATGACGTTGTTGTCAAACTTATTGTAAGAGGCCATTGAGAGCAGACCACCAACTCCTATACCTAAGGAGTAGAAGATCTGTGACGCAGCATCATTCCAAACCTGCAATGTATGAGACAAATTTTTCTTTAACAATCAATGTAATCAAACATTTGTCTTGATATGATGAGCCAAATAACAAAACGGAGGATCACTTGTTTACTGTTGTGCATTCTAGGTATCGATCCAAGAGTTGATCACTTACAGGAGTGAGAATGCAACTATAAATGTGTGTCTCTTACTGGATGGAAAGATGTGCAATAGAACAAGAATCAAGATATTAAGAACACATCTCAGAACCGATCTTTAGCTGTCAGTCAGCCGTCAATGCTAAAGCCTCTGCAAAATTGTAATTAACTATGGCCAACCTTGCAGAGCTTTCTGTGTAGCCAGCAGTTAGGGATAAAGGAGTTCCAACCAAGACTTCAATTTACGCTTGTTGTGATCGTTTACAGAGTTGAAACCACAGAATGAAGTTGGTGTTGGAAAACAACACCAAAAAGGGATTATAAGCCACACTTTTATAATGATATCTATTCATAAACATGTATTAAAACTTTGTCTTCCTCAGAGGATTGACAAGACATGATGAGATAAGATGATTCTTTATTGATCCCTGGAGGCAAAATTCAGGTGTTGCAGCAGCACAAAGAGAAAAAAAAAGCGAGTAGGTACCACAGGTTCAAATCAAATAAGAATAAATAAAAGTAAATAAATTATACAGGACACTTTAAACCATTACTGATAGGTTCAGGGTTTCATTGCGGTGGGTGGCCGTCCGTCCTTTTTGCTCTCCTCAACGACTGTTTGCCTGTCTACAGCCAAAGCTCGCTGAAACACCAGTAGACAATACTATTTCTCCAAAACACAGAGACCAGAACAATTCCAATACCAACATCTGGTTCCAGATAAATTAAGGACATACCAACATGTGTTGCTATGTAAAAACTCAAGAAACATCACTATAGGGAAGCTTTATAAACATCTAGGGGAGCTATGAGGAGTTAAGGAAAGTAAATACTGGTATTGATCACTAAAACCAAGCACTGGTGTGGAGACAGATGAGTTAGAGATAAAAGCATTCCTTGTGATTTTTTTTAATAATCTGTATTTAGTCATAACAATAAGACCTGTATTTTCATTTGATGGATGACTATTTGCTGACAGACTGATCTTTTAAACTAAAAAGCCAATTCACAGTTACTATCACAGCAGGGTCAAACTTAGTGAGTCTTCCATCACATGTACCTGTGCATTGGCTAATCGGCTCCAGTCTGGTGTGAGATAGAAAGCAATGCCCTGCAGAGATCCCTCCAGTGTGGCACCTCTAATGATCAAAACAATGAGCACCAAGTAGGGGAAAGTAGCTGTTACGTAAACCACCTGAAAACACACACAAACACAGAACAACAGACATAAACATTACGTCAACAAGATGTGAGAGCAAAATGCAGGATTGTGTGTACGTTTGGAGGAAGCGGACAATAACAACATTGTCTTGATTCACCTTGCCAGAGCTGCGGATGCCCTTGAGCATACAAAGGAAGATGACGATCCAGGCGGCCAGCAGGCACAGAGCCAGGGGCCACCGGACAGGGCCCGGGTCATGGAGGCCCTCACTGTTTACTACACCCAACACACTCTCACTGCGAGACACACAAGTCAAAAACATGTAATACAACACTTAACACCCCTACTGACATGCTTACTATGCATGTGGTTGGGCAGACATGTTGAACTGTGAAGGCTCTAGTCTAAAGAGGAGTTCTTAAAAACTACTGTGGATTTCTTACAATGGCAACATTTAGTTCTTTTGTTTTATTACATTAGTTCTATAAGACAGTGGATTTAAAAAAAAGAAGGATGATATTATTAGCAGCATTTTCACAACATACAGTATGTACACAATGTGTTGTACAATATGCAGTATTAGAGTTGCTATAAGCCTTGAGAATGAATAACATATCCCTAATGAACAGTTACAGCAGTACAGGATTTAACATGTGAACATAGAGAACAATAAGATAAGATCAACACAAGTGAACATACACTTTATTGATCCCCAATTGGGTCAATTCACTCATTAGAATCACCTAATTGACAATGCAATGTCAAGAATTATAACTGTTCAGAATTTTGTTTATCCATTCTGCATGAAATGTTAAGGTCTGGTGAATATGGTGTTTTTCACACATTTGTCAAATGGAGCACATACTATGTGATACTACAAAAAGAGCTGGAATGAAAAAAAAACTGGGATTAAGTTCTTATTCACAGAGTAAATGAAATACAAACGCTGGGCCCGTCATTCAGCAGTTTGTAGTTTGGATGGGATGATTGCATGAGGGGAGGGGTTACACTTCAATAGAGAAGCGGCCTCTCTCAGTGCCTCTGAGTGCCTGCTGTGCCTCACTGAGGGAAGGCTGCAGTGATCAGGTCAACAAACAGTCTGACCTAGATGCTGTATCTTGCCTCAGTTTGAGCCCTTTGGCTTGTTTGCTGTATGTAAATAAACGCCTTACTTCTACTCAAAGCTGATGATTGATGATATATTTTCCAGGTACAAGCTACCTTTATTTTTTTTACAAAACAAGGATCTGACTGACTGAGAGACACTTACTTCCAGAAGACCTCTGAGGGGCTGAGGACTCTACCGCTGGAGCTATTGCCTGCCGTGCCATTTCCACAGAGTGCTGCGTTGGCAATAGCATCACATGACCAAGGAAGAGGGCTCTGGAACGAGCTGCCCAGGTAGTAAAATGTCCAGGCTATAATAACGTTATAGTAGAGACACACCAGTATTGACACGCAGAGCATCCCGATGCCAATACCTACAAGGGGAGACACAGCAGTGTGTACAAAAAGACAACATGATTACACTATAGTCCAATGAGAACAACCTTTTATTACAGGTATATATAAAGGAAGAAATCTATTTATATAATTATAAAATAAAGACTTTAGATTGCATCACCTCTCCAATAAAGCATTTGAGAAATTCAATGCTGCTCCTTGTAACGAGCGACTCCTTGTTTATTTTTGGTACAATTGAAGGAACTGTTTCAAAACAATCTCAAACTGAGCCAGCTAAAAATAAACTTGTCTTTTAATAAACAAAAAAAAAGCTGCTTCTCCGGCTAGATTTTGGCTCTAAGACAGTTCCTAGAGGTTTCCTCTTCGGATGTTTATATTGGGCAATTCTGCTGCTTGACTCTCAGGAATGTTTAGAGTTAGCCACATGACATAAAGCAGTGAGATGTCCAACCAATGTGAGTCAGCCGGTTATTTTCTTGGACTCTAACAATAAATGACTGTTGACACAGGTATTTTGTTGTCATCTTGAGAGCCTGCTTACTCAGATGGTCACATGTGGATGCTCAAGATGAGAGGAGAATTAACACAGAGCTGTGATCAGATATTTTTATACTATTTATCACAGTCAAGCATCAACCCACTTTAAGTCTCATATAGTTGTCTCCTGGAATGTTCTGAAGGCTGTGTCCTTGAATAACCGTGCATGTAAGTGTATTATTACTGCGAAGGCTAAAAAGCTCAATACAGGTACACATTACCTTTGAGCAGAGGACAGCATTTCCACACTGTGATGGGGCCAGCTGCTCCATACTGGCCTAAACTCAGCTCCATGAGGAAGAGTGGGACACCCGTGAAGAAGAGCATTATGAAGTAAGGGATGAGAAAAACACCTGTGAAAAGGAAAGAAAATACCAGCTTTTAGGAAACGAGGCACTGAAGGAGACATTCAGTGAAAAGGCCTTATTGTGTGACTACAAGTAGACGGCCTGTTGAAGCAGGATAACTTATGAGCTACGTGTAGGTGGTAGTTTCAGAGTCAGATGCTGTTCGGTCAAGCTTTAACATGTTTGATTTTAGGTGAAGATGCATATTGGGTAAAAGAGGCAGACCTCATGTCTGGGGTGCAATCAAGGAAAATGCTGTCTCTACTTATAGGATTAGTTCGTGCTCTGTGTTCTAGCTCGCAGATAGGAGCGCTTTGTGCAGAATAAGCCAGCATGATTAGATGAACAGTGCACATTCAAGGGCAGGGCGAAGGGTGCCTCTTGCCCAAATGGGTGTAACTAATTATTACAGACACAATATTACGGCATTTCAAACATTTGAGGCATCAAAGGGGCAGTGAGTGAGCACGTGTAGACCGCTCACCTCCTCCATTGCGGTAACAAAGGTACGGGAACCTCCATACGTTCCCCAGTCCTACGCAGTATCCCATACAGGAGAGCAGGAACTCATACTTCCCTCCCCACTGCTCTCTCGGGATAATCTGGGTCGCTGTGGGTGTAGGACTCGTCGGTCTGGAATCAAACTGTTGGTACGGTACCGCCGGAGCTGTGGGGTTGTGTCCATTTTGAGTTGCAGCGTGTCCTTTCAAATGTCCTGAATTCTGGAAAAATGAAACCATAACTGTTTGGTCAGTGAAATAGAAGTCGGAGAAGCCATGTCTCCTCTACATTTTTTCATGACAAAGTACTCATGAGCATTGTATATAAGAGTGCAGAAATTATTATTAGATAAATCAGTGATAACAACTGTTACACATGGTTTGTTTAACCTGTCTAACATAAAAGGTGTTAAAACCACAAAGTAGACCTTTGTTCCCCTTTCTCCCTGCAGGCCGACCATCTCTATCAAGAGAGGAACTCTTTCTCAGGTCGCATTGAGGAAGTCGGATGAAGGTAACAGCTTCCGCTTTATAGGCTGTAAACTGTCACTGTTACGTGTTCAAAGATGAATAGTTAATCAGTTATTCCAATGACACAAGAAAGTGTGGATTGGTTAAATAATACTCGTTGTTTGAGACTTTCAGAGTGTAATGTCTTGCAACCCCAATTATCATATCTGTTACACTCACAAAGTGAAAATATGTGAACATTTTAACTTATGGAGGTGTAGCATGATCCAGGAAGTTAGCATATTACAACAAAACTTAACAAAGGATTATGCTAAATCTATAGTAGAGTAAACCAATGGGACTCCGTAAGAATAAGTGAACTTCAACGGGCTTTTTAATCATCATCTCATAAACCGGTAGATCATTTGTAAATAACAGTATGAAAGGCACTGTATGACAACTTTTAACATTAAAGATAACATCAGAAAAGACGTCTCTAGGTTAGTAAAGCTTAAGGTTAATAAAACAAATTATTTACAAAATATTACAAGAGAACAACAACTTGTCCCTCTTGCAGGTAATGTTTGTTGTCTTGAAAAATGACTGCAATGATTCATTAATTGTATAAATGTTTAGTAGGCCTTCTACTCTGCAGACCATTCAACTGACTTTAACGCAGGACTTTGTAAAGTTTCTGAAATTAATACCATTGTTTATAATAAGGCAAATTTGACTTGTTAATAGCCTATAATTTGATTTTAAAGCATGGTCAGCATTAGACAACTAAATGGCACTAAAGCTCACAAAGTTGAAAAGGTGAATGTCTTTTGGATCTGCAGCAGATCAGCAGCTTTAATAATGTTCTGTTCTGTATGTGAAACTTGAGAAAAGTCTGAGCAAACACACATGTTAAGTAATCAGCTTGGTATCGTCTGTGTCTACAGTGTATCTTTAGGTAGCTGAATCCTCAGAGGTGGGAGGGAGCAATGCGGACTAACAGGTTAGACAGCTTCTTCTAAAAACATTGTGCCTGCCCTCACCACCGGGAGCACAGGAAAGTGAAGCTAAATCACCTGTAAAGAGGTCTCACGCTGCTTTTTTTTTTTTTTAAGAGTTGAGCATAATGTCTAAAGTCCAAACAAAGTGAAATATTTGGTGTTGAGAGCCTGAATTTCAAACCTCCGTCCCTACCTGCGCGGTGTTTGCGGGGCTTCCGATTGCCGCTTTGCCGCTTTCGTCCTGCATTTCCCCCCCCTCCCCACCGCGGCACAGGTGGCGCTTCACTTCTTTTATCTGTCGCTTGTTAATCCATATTTTTCACGGGACAGCAATCTTGAAAGTACACCATGTTGCTGTATTGTCAAGATGCCGGGTTTAAGGAGGTTACAGTCGAGTGGACCGCAGGCGGCACGGAGGTATCAGCGATGACGAGGAGGAGGCAGGTCGTTGGGCGGTGATGCGAAGGACTGAAAAAGGCAGGGCACAAGTGCAGCACAGTACACCTCCTCCTCCTCCTCCTCCTCCTCCTCACCGGTCTTGTTTAGTGTGAGATGTGGGCAGGTTGAGGTTTGGTTGGGGGATTAAAATGCATATAAAGGAGTTCCCTGGCCCGGGTAACTTTAACGAAAGTTGCGTGTAAGCTTCAGCTTCTTCCTTCAAAAATAATGAAGCCAGAATATAACCTATTTATTGTGAAAGAATAAGTGAAATGCTTTTATCAACATAGCATATACCAACAGAAACAAAACTGGTGTGGGGTCAAGCTGCTTGGAGCATTCATACTTTTCCATGGGTAGTCTATATATTATATTAATTTTATATAATTATATATATATATTAAAGTGTTTGCACAATTTCTGTTTTTTTCTTTAAGAATAATAACTTGTCATTTAATAGGTGGTTTAATAGAAGGATTTGCTTGGCTAAAGACTCAATTAATTCTTTGTTCCCGATTTTTTTCTGTGCTATGGGCTTGTTGTGTAATGTGTTCTTGTGCATTACATTTTCATATTCTTCTGCAGGCCATTTACAAGACATTTCAACTGCATACCATTCAAATTAAGTAGGCCTATAGATTAAAATGATAAGAGATTTATAATAAAAATACACATTTCTGTCTGAATGATCAAACTTTTTTGTGTAGGCCTATGTAGGCTACATGTAAAATGCCTTTAGTGCTTTATTTACCCTACTATCTTATGGAGACTCTAAATAGCTTAATGGTATGTTCCCAAAACACTCAGCTCATCACAAGAAAATGTCAAGTCGGTTAGCACTAGCAGGCCAGTTAACTATTAATATAGCTTTAATATTATTTTTCTTTCACATATTTTTTTTTTTTAAATCGCTGTTAACCTGTTGTGAAAAAAAAAAAACAAGTAGCTATGATCTTTGACATTTGGGTGACAAAGGAGGAGAATGTGAGGTAGGGTACATACTTGTAAGGGAAGCTCTACATCTTGTGCTAATCTGTTTGTGTGCTTGTTTTACCTGACACACTTCTCAGTACGACTTCCTCAGGTGTCATCAGTGAGTCGTGTAGGCTACTGTTGAAAGAAATCAACAAAACACATTCAGCTATGAGTTGTTTTTTTTTTTACAACTATAGTCAAGAAAAAACATATTAATGGACACATAGAGGAAAAAACAGGCCCTAACACTAGATAGAAAAAAATCCTCAGTAATGACTGGGGCAGTAAGAGCTCAAAACTCCTGGGCAGCTTGAACAGCAACATTGCACCTCCTATGACTTGACCAAAGAAGTAAAAACAAATATAAATAAAAATATATATGTTCATATTAGTCCTGATGGTGTGATGTTTAGAGACTTTTGTCTTTCTTAGCAACTCACGGACTCTTTAATCCAGGTAAGCTCATGATGCTTCTTTAAATCCATCCAAGCTGTTGTGTGCCTATACTTAACAGCCCTACCCAGCAAATGTGGGTCAAAAGATGCACAGTGAAGGAACCCAGTAGCTGCTAGTGCAGTTGGAATCTTCAAGTGGTTATATATTTACAGTAAATGTTTTTATAGAGGGCTTAGGTGGACTAAAACTTAACTGGATAAGAGCCGGAAGAAGTAAGACGTTTTGAGGACTCATTAAGAATATGGAACTCCACCAAGGCCTCATGGAGAGTGATTGGAGCCGGCATTTCAGCAACCAGCCACCAGTGGAGTGTGACACAAGTTCAAACCTTCATCTTCTCTTCAGTGAGTTGAAAAGCAGCTCTGGGAGGCAGGATGGGAGCTCAGATCCATACAGCCGCATCTGGACCCTCACTGAGCAACCAAGAATCACAAGTTGTAACAATCACTCGTATTCCATGGATGCTAGGTTAAGACTAAATAACTTGAAGGCAGGGTGTAATTCATTGCTGCCTTTTCCAGCCGTGGACGGGATATTGTACAACTATAATTGTCAAAAAGACCTTTGGAAGAAGGACGATCCAGAGGAAGAAGAGTCTGCCTTGGATTTGGTAGAGCTCCTTGATGTAGAGGAGGATGTGAATGATGAAGAGAGCTGGTAGGTACCATCAGACCTCTAAAAGACATTCCATTTTAAAAGATATAGCCCTTGTTTAATAAATAAATACAAATATTTTGGGTGAAATTACAATAAAGCTATTTCATGAAATATTACTGAATAGTGAGTGGGTGCATTTTGGGGATTTTGGCACAAATGTTGGTTAGTATTATGAATATTTGATATTATCAATAATAATCAAAACCATCATAATCATACCAATACTAACAATAACAATAATAATAATGAATATTGTGTTTATTATTGTCATTGTTATTATTATTGTTGTTGTAGATAACAATTGTATTTGCAATTTAAAATATTTGAGTTATTATTATTTATCAAATATTATTTCCAGAGACCTGACATTGACCAGTGAGCAATTACTGAGCCACACTGGCAAATAATCTTTCTATTTATAGGCAGAAACCTCGAGCAGAATCCGACTCATTGGTGAACAGCCACCTGCTGCAACGATCATTCTCTAGATGTCTTTGTTGTACAAGCCAACGCACACTTTTAAAAGACATACAAAAGTCTGAGTGGCTGCCATGTTGATGTCATTGGAAGTACTTCTTCATACGACTAGTTTTTAACAAGAAAACATGTCTGCTCTTTATTAGAGCAGAATTAGGATATGTTGTGAACAAAGGGACAGTGCTCTGTTTTTTTTCCCCACAGGTTATATGAGTCTCCAAAGAAGCCAGTGTTTGAGGAGAAGACTGAGTCTGCTCTCACATGGTGTCGACAAGTCCTGGATAACCCCAGTCCTGAGGTGGAGGCAGCATGTCGCCAACTGCTAAATAGACTGGATGAAAGTAAGCCACAGACTCATTTTCACTTCATAATGTTGATCAGTTTGGCAAGAGGTTTCCCAGCGAGCACAAACTGTGATATTAGCATGGATTTATACATGAAAACTGTCTGATAAACAGTCTGAACTTCAAAGACCATATCTGTTCCCCTTTCAACAACATGAAACAAAAAAATAATAATTTGTTCAGTGTTTTAGATTATTTGTCCAGTTTAAGGTTGAAAAGGAGAGAATATTGATCATCGTTCCCCAGCTCATGCCCCTCTCTGTATTTATAGGATCAGGCAGCCACTCCTACAGACGTCCTGCAGTTCTCCCACATACTGGGGATGTGACTGTGGGCACCTCTTCGGATAAAACACCTGACAGCTCAACAACAAATCCCTCTGATGTTTTAGGTATTATGATAATGACAGCAATATTTTGTCCAAAATACCCTGAGACATAGAATTTAATTCTGTCATTGACTAATCACGCAAAATAAATCAAGATGGAGAAATATTCAATTTTACAGCCAATTTTATTTCTACTAAAAGACCACCATGATGATAGATTTAAGACATCTCCTTTTATTTATCTCCACAGATATCAATGAGCTGAGCATCTCCAATGACTTCACAACCACAAGCTACAGACTGCGCAACATCACAGATGTGCAACAATGGCTCGTTTACAGGAAGCCAGTGAGTAGAGAAGAGTATTTATGATGAACGAGTTTGCTCAGCTTAGGTTTGATTGGAATAACTTCATATATATTTTCAGGTTTAAGACAGGACTTTGTTTCCACGCCAGCCACTGCTCTAAGAAGAAGCCCTGAGTCAACAGTGATGTCTCCATCCTATTCTAACACCACCTTCGAAAATAGTGATGACTTCACTCCAGGAAGTCAAGCCGAGGCTTCCTCTTCCTCTTGCTGGCTACCCAGTCTGCTGTCGCTGAGCTCATCCCCGTGTCAGTCCCCAGCATCAGGAGGCAAACAGGGCTGTCAAAGTCCAAAACTGGCCAGACTTCAACAGCAAGTCACCCAGTTCAAGCTGCTAAAGCTTGCTCAGAATCAAGGTACAGAGAGCATTCACAACTCTGCATTCGTATTTTTGAGTAAGAGCTATTCATGTTCTCACATGATTTATTTATTTATTTGTAAAGTTCATTTCATTCATCAACCAAACAATACAACTAAATACAAACATTAAAATCTCAACTCATTAATGAAAAGAGTTTTGTTAATGAATGTCTTGTGAAAGGAGCAGAAAGATCTTTCACTCTTTTATAAGACATTCATTAACAAAACAGATTTAAAAAAAAATAAAAAAGGATAGTATGAAGAGGAGAAATTGTTCTTCTTTGTTAGAAAATAAGATCCGGAATAACTTTCAAACACAGGTTGGTAAATGAGAAAGGGTCCTGTTAATGAATATTTTGAACAAATGTTTGTATTGTTAAACATTTTAAACCTCTTTCTTATGGATTAAGTTGATGTTAAATACATTTTTCCAGTTTTATTATACAAAGGATACATATGAGTTTGTTTAGAGATGTTTTTCTTACAGTTGAAATAGTGAGTGAATGTGAACCCTGAGGTGTTTTGCAGCAACATCAGGCAGAACCAGGTCACCTCTGCAGACCAGCCTCCGCTCTCTCCAGGCTGTGAGGAACAGCCGAAGTTTAGACACAGACGGCTGTGGACCTGCTGATCAAGACAGTCATCCAACATCAGGTGTGGATCTGTTTGTCACGTTTTATCTGTCAAATCTTTTTACATAAAATAAACATTTATGTTATTAAAAAGTAGACTTAACATAAAAATAAACATCAAATTGTTATCTCAGGTTCACCACCTGCCATAACGGGCTCAGGTTTCTGGTCCCCATCACGTTCTGGAGCACAGAAGAACTCCAGTGGCTCAGTGCACTCAGGGGTGGACGTCTCAGCTCGGATGAAGAAGCTGCAGAGGTCTCAGTCTGCCAGCCCCTGCAGGATCCCTCACTCCGCCAAGGGATACCTGTCGTTCAGTGGACGTGTTTTTGCCTCACCCGAGAGGTCAGCCTCTTTGGCGTGGGGCAGAAATGTTCCATCTAGTCGAAGGTGAAAGTTTTTACAAGTTGATTACCTCGACGGTGATGTAACATTAAAGTAGGATTTAAACATCAAGACATTTTTTTGGTATTAAACTACTTTAACAGTATGTATTAATATTTACGTTCTATGGTTTTATCCTATAAGGAGTGTAGGATTTTGAAGGAATTCATGAAGTCGTTCTGAAAATTATGTTGGTGATGGTTGGTGACACAGATTTCCCGGCAGTTTTTTCAAAATTACAAAGACAGACAGAGCTTTGCTGTTTGACAACGAACCTCAATCACTTGTACTATTATAGCTGTTAAATGATTGAAATGTTCAGTTTATTCTTGTTGGTACAACAGAAAAGGAAAGTCAAAAGATAATGGTGACAGGTTTGAGGCCTGGTTTATCAGGACTTAGCGTTAGTTTAAAATTCAAGTCAAAAGTTTGAGTTTACAGTTTTTAAGTTTGACTGAAACTCTCAATTGTTTAATTTAAGCAGAGGTGATTCAAAAGGAAACAACTTGCAGCCTGTTGAAGTACCGGTATGTGTTAATGATGTCAGATCAGACAGGTATTACGAGGTTAACTGGTTATCAGAAATATCTCTTAAGTCTTGTCTGAAATTGATAGTGAGTCGTGAAGTGATGCTAATTGGTGGTTGGTGTAATATGATCAACTGTCATTTAAAAAAAATAGGGGAACAATATGGATATGTTAGAAACATTGTACCTTGAATACAAATCTCTACACCATGAGTCTAGCCTATTATTTTTTATTGCAGTTTTAAGTGTTTTCCTAAATCGTTTTTTAATCCAACTCTACTTTCCAAAGAGCAGATCAACAGTTGTCGTGTCATTATCCTGAAATCATCTTCTGAGGTGACCATGAATGCTGAAGCATGTTGTCCAATGCAACTTTTACAATGTTCTTTCTTTAATTCTTAGCAAATCTATTAAACTTCTGTTCAGCTCTGTTTGACCTCTGCCTTGCTTTCTGTGTCTGAATAGGACACATCAACTCACTCTACTTGCAGTTTTACTTTAACTATACTTGGATTTTTAGACTGTTGGTCGGGTAGAAAACACAATTTTTTTCTGTATTTGTAAAAGCATGCATTTTGTCGAGCCCAAGCCAACAGGCATGACGGTACCCGGCTCCTGGAGTGGGCTCACTTTTTACCACATTACTTATGTAATCATGTGTTTTACAAGATTTTCATGATGACCAGAGACAATAAAATAATCACACAACACAATCAGGGGTTACTTTGTAGCCTTCAAGCTCTCAGTTTTAGTGACCTCACCAGCACACAAAGCATCCGTCACATTTTGCTTTGGTAAAGTGTTAATGCTGTCTCTAAAGATGGGTGTGTTGTAATTTCAACAAAGGGAAGCATTTGAAGAATTTGAAGAGGAAGTTCTTTGAAAGCGTTCTTACAGAAAAGGAAGTGGATGTATACTATAAATGGATTGTCTGATTCTTTCCTACCCAGAATCCCAGCTGATGAGGAAATGAATGTTAACTTTTCATTTGATATATCAAAACTGAACACGGACCAGAATCCCTTTGATCCTCTCAAAGGACAGCTGAGTAGAGAGTGTGTAAAGTTAGACCACTTTAATAAACGCTTTTAGCAACTGGAGAATAATGTCTCATTCAGGACATTATAATTTATACACAGTGTTCCTGATTTAAATGTCTAATTGTATTTCAACCGCAAAAGAGGAAAATTATTTATTATTGCGAGAAAAATGTTTTAAAAATACAAAAAAGAAAACTCATTACACCTTTAGTCTGTTTACTCTTGTTTGTAATTATTCAGTTGGTTAGAATAAACAGCTGGTCTTTGTGAGCGCAGGGTACGAATGATTCAAAAAGTAAAAGACATCTTAACACTTCCATGTTAAAACACATCGTAGTACACAACAATCACTCGACATAAAAAAGGCTAACTGAAATTTACAATGTGCCATACTGCAGGTACAACAGTACAGGAGGAAGCTATTAACATTAGACATCATTTACAAAATATTACAAAACGATCTCCTCGCAAAGCTCCTTGTCTTCATTTTAAAACGACACTTATAAACACTGTCTTCTTAATAAAAAAAACAATAAACCTAACTAGTTGTCTGAGTCCATGTCGCTGTCTCCCCCGATGGATCTAAACTCCTCGCTCTCTTCGTCTTCACTGAGCTGAACCTGGGAGAGCACAGCCGGGCCTCTCCTCCGCGCTTCATCTTCTTCATCTTCCTCCTCCTCGCTGATGCCGTAGTCTCCGTTTCCCATGCTGGAGGGCTGCAGCTGACTGCGGCTCTCGGTCTCCTCATAGCTGCCGTAACTGAGACAGAGAAAGCAACAAACATTTGGTTTGATTCAACTCCATTATTTCTTTATATAGTGGTTAATAATTGTTGGTCCTCACATGCCTAGTTTTGTTTTTTTAATTCATTTCATTGATATCAATTCTCCAGATTCTCAAAACAGAGCTGCATTGATTAATGCTAATAAAAAGTTCTTCTGGTGACATACAGGTCGTGTAGATTTATCGGTTATTAATCACAGGTTGAAATTTTCATTGTTTCTTTTTGCAGATACAAAAAACTCTTGGTTCATATTTGTTGTTTTGTATACTTATATCTGATGCATTTTATTTTGTACCGAGAATGGATTGTCTTTATTGATGGCAATCTCTACCTGACATTGCTGTCTTCCATGTGAGGCTCATCAGGCCCGTCCCCTTCGTATGACATCATGCTCTCGTCCTGCTCCATGCCCATACGAGCCGTCTCTTGGGTTCTCCGTGGAGGCGCAGGTCGAACATCCAGCTCTCTGTCCGAGTCACTCCCACTCTCTGACAGCTGAATGGCTGCAGGAGACACATGATGAATGGTAAAAAAAAATCTGCACACTGTTTTTAGAGCTTTTGATGTAAGTACAGCTGCGACACTTACAGGAGAAAGGGTTGTCGCCCTCCTCTTCGCTAGCGTCATCCTCTCCGTCAGACATGAGCAGGTCCTGGTACAGCACGCTGGCCTGGGCCGGGCGGTTAGATCTTCCATCCTCCTCTTCTTCCTCATCCTCCTCTTCATCACGGTCGTGCAGCCGTCTGCGAGGTGGCAGTAACATTTCCTCGTCGTCGTCGTCATCCTCTAGATCTCCATCTGCGTCCTCAGCCTGAAAAAAAAAAAACAAAAAGAAAAAAAAAAACACAGGAAGTTCCCTCAGTCAACTAAAAAAAAAGTCATAAGAATAATGGAACATTCTGAAGCTCAAATTTGGCAAGAGGGTATTTGGTCTGTCTGACACAAATAAAAACAGCTGACAACATCGAAAGAAATGGCTTCCTCAGTCACACACACACACACACACACACACACACACACACACACACACACACACACACACACACACACACACACACACACACACACACACACACACACACACACACACACACACACACACACACACACACACACACACACACACACACACACACACACACACACACACACACACACACACACACACACACACACACACACACACACACACACACTCAAACCCCTCTATTGAAAACTGGTATTGATATGAATGAATCTACAGCAGGCGTGACTAAATTCCCTTCAGTGGCCTGTTTTTCTTACCGGAGCAGGAGTCTTAGGTTTGCCATCATCATCCTCTTCAAAGCCTTCAATGTCCACGTCCGACTCTTCCTCCCCGGGTCTTCTGCTGTGGCGACCCTGGGGGAAAGATGAAAAAAATACTCTTGAAGGGAGAACAACAAAAGCAAAAGAAAACACTTTCACACAGTCATGTCTGTTATGTTCTAGTATGGCCAGTTTGAATAAGAAGCTGGGTAATGAGAGGATAGTTTAAGGGAGAGGTGGCGTGTGGTTGTGAGCCTTTATTTTTGTCTCTCTCCATACCTGCCCCCCTCTCTTCTCTGGAGCAACTACTAGCGGTCCCTCAGAGAAAAGGCTGCTGGTCTCTCTGGGCAGACTCCCCGAAGCCCCGCTGTCAAAAAGATCAGCAGGCTGGCCAACACCACACAGAGGGACGCACACACAGGGAGAGACAGGGAAAAGGTGAAGCGAAAAAACAGGGTGGAAATAAGGAAACACTAGAGTGAAGACAACTATGTTGTGCAGATGAAAAGTTAAAGTCTGGACAGGAGAATTAGTGTAGATCAAGTGAGGAAATAGAAGGGTCAGGAGTACAAGAAGTGAAGGAGACTACTACATCTAGAGAAGTTTACACTACCTTGTGTGGCACATTAGAAACAGCTGAAACTAATCAAGTCTGCATTAAGTGTAGCAAAAAATATCCAGTAAAACTTGCATTTGCTTATTAACAAAACCGGTCCAAGGCTACTCTCCTACCTGAGGTGTGTACGGCCCGGGGGTCATGGGGTCGAGACACTCCAGATCTGCTGCGTCCAGAGCGGCCTCTTTAGCAGTGGAGATGTCCTTCTCCAACTGGGTCAAGTGCTCATCATACTGGAGGAGCAAACAAAGGTGATTATTATAAGACAGTTGTTTTTCCTGCTCCAAAAATGATTTGTTATAAATTTGTTTCAGATGTAGGTTTATCTTTTTAGAGTTCAACTCAGCCAGAGTAAAAAAAAAAAAAAAAAAAAGTTGTCCTTGTCTAAATCAAATATGAATCTAAACCAAGCACTTGGGTAAAATAGAAGATATTTTAATAAAAGATGTACAACTTGTTTTTTTCAAGAAGAAAAAAATATTGTTAGACAATTTGATGTTATGTTTATTTTAAAAAACGGTTTCCTAAAATAATAGGAGATGAAAAGCAGATAGAAAACATATCATTGCATCATAAAAATGCTATCATGCTATCCTGATAATATACTAAAGCCCTGCCCAGCCCAGAGAAGGTAACATACTGTATAAATGCTCATCAACATGATCCTTCCCCCTGACATTAAAACAACAAACTAAAATGCAAAGCAGCAACAAACCTCTGCCAGGGTTTGCTTGCACACATTGACGATATCCAGGGCGGTCTTTGTGTAAGGACTGTCAGGACCTGTGACACACAAAACAAGAGCATTTGAACTTTACACAACTTTTTGCCTTAGCTAGAAAACTCGCCTCTCAATTGGTCGTTATGTTTGATAAAAGCTCAAAATAAAAAAGTGATGCTGACACCTTTACCATTGTACTTGATACTGTTGGTATGGATAAGACCAACATCTGAAAGGAACACCTCTCTGTTTTGATATTTGTGTTTGGAGATATTCTGTAGAAGAAGAACAAATTATATACAAGTGCAAGAAAAGGACTCTTTCTGTATCAATCTTTGTAGTGCATATATCAAGAGATTCAAATAACTGTATTTGTTTTAAAGTTGATAACTTGTATAACTCCTACCTTGCGGATACTCTCCAGATCCATGGGGTTTACTATCACTTTATAATAATCAGGCACAAACTTTTTGTTGACGGGATGATGGAATGGCCACGACTAAAGTGAAGAAAAGAATCACAGAGTTATTGGGAGTGATCTGATTTCAGACAAACTCATTCGTAGTCTTAAATGGATTCAGGTAGGAAAACAGAGACTCACATCAGGAACCACCATCATTTTCTGGGTCACGATGTTGTCCAGGATGAAGGAGAAGGCCACCTGATCGTCGTCATCCAGTAACGGGTTGATGGCTTTCTCCAGCCTCACCAGCCTGTCCTCTTTCTACACACATACACATATTAATTAGTGATGAAAATAAAGAAAATGCAGGAAGATAATGAAAAAACACAAATATTGACACACACCTCTTTGAGTTTAGCATCACACAGGTCCAGCATGGACTGTGCAACCTGTGTTATTGGATGTTTTGCCCCTGACGAAACCAAAAATAAAGAACACTATCTCATTAACACTATAACATTTGATGTTTCAAATTCAGTCCAACTCCTGAGCAAGGGTCTTCCTTAAGTCGCTCGTTTCACTTAT